CATCATAAAGCTTTATAATAATATTTTTAGATTTGTCAATGTCACTTTCCCAATTCTGTATCCAAAACAAAAGTCTCTTTCTCTGTCATGTGCCTATACCCACTTTCAAGTTTATACTTGTTTATTGTTCCAAGTTGTGTTAAAGAATCTCATATAAAATCTTAGTCTATAACTCATTCACTATATAGGTCTGATTTATTTCTATTTTAGTTACTCCATTTAAATATGATTTAGTTGCAAGTCTTGTATTTCAAATGGCTCTTGAACATTTGGGAATTACTTTACATAAAGCCAAATTTTATAAATTTTGATGTTTATGAAATGATCACTAAAAGAAAAATTACAGTAATTATAAACTTCTGCCCAAGACAAAACATGTGTAAACACGTATTTAAACTAAGGTACAAAAAGCTTTCACAAATTGAAGAGCCCAATTGAAAAATTAAAAATGTTAAGATATTACCTAAGTCTAAACATAGCAAATTATGCTATTAAATCCGGTGATTTCTTAATAATAACAATTATATCCACTAATCCTCACAAGTGGGAGCCATAAGTATGTTTTTTTGGATTGTCTGCTTCTCAATATTATAAATATTCATGTCCTGCATATAAGCACAACTTTTTTATTGTTAATTTAAAGAAATATAAAGGACCAGTCACAGGACCACACACCACGTTCCCCTAACAGTGATTTCACGTCGAGAGGTACAATTAAATGAAAAATCTCTCTGTTTGATTTTAATAGTAAAATAGTACTCTCTACCTTTGCCCTTGACTAGATGGAATACAATATTCCACAGCAATAAAACTTCTTTGTGTGGATTTTTAATTTGAATAACTCCAAAAGGCATCCATAATCGCACTTCGCATACTTTCACTTTATATTTTAAAAATATTACTATTCAGAAAATTATTATTGTGCCCTTTTTTTTATCTTTACTACTATTTATTACACTATTTTTTTTAAAAAAAAAATAATTCATCCCTACACAATCCCACGTTATTACTGCACAGATCAACGATGTAAAGTTAAACCAATGCATTATTGTGTAATAGTTTAAATCAATTGGGATTTTTGTATTATGTATAAGGTATCAAAGTACACTATTATTTTCTTCAGAGAGAGAAGAAAGAAATAAGTTATGCCGGAATATATATACGGGAAGAAAAATATATACACAATTTTTTTTTATATAAAAAAATGGTGTTTATAGGTTAGGGTTGTCAAACGAAGGCCTCTCCTTTTTATTTATTTTATCTGGGATGCTTCCTAAAATTTTGTTATTTTATTTATCTCTGTCAACTCTTTGAGCCTAACTAAACTATATAGAAGTCTAAGCAAAGCAACTTACTGATGATACCCTAATCTATAAACTTTATTATCAGTTTCTCCTCCTTCTGCTTTAATTTATTCTAGGTCATATTAGTTTATATGGCTTGTTTAGTACGTAAATCTACATTATTTCCTCACAAATAATGAGCTTTCTGTAAGGTAAATTAAAATATATATGCTTCCAAATATATACTTCCATGATGATGATGCTAGTGTAGTTATTGTGAATCTGCTAATTATTATTATTATTATTATTAACATGGATAAGATCATATAAAGTTACGTCCATGAACATGCTAATTAAATTGCAAGCTGTGTTCAGCTTTTTAGATTCAGTTTTATATAGATATGTTTGAAAAACACATCAATATAAACTTTTGTCGGAGTTTCTTTCAGAGGAAATGTTTATACTTCAGAGCTTGAAACAAATTATTCCCTCTTCTGTTTCCTTTTGATAGTATTTATCCGAGTATTGGTTCTGAGATTAAGGAGCTTCGAAGTCATACTTCATGTAAAAAATATAAGCATCTAGGTATAGGTTTAGTTTGGATAAATATTTAAAAGAGAAGAAAATTTTAAAAAGTAAATGAATCTTTTTTATAAGTTTAAATAATACATTTCAATTTTAAAAAAATTTAAATAAATTAAATAATTTCTAAAAGAATAAGAGAATGTAAATTAACTTTAATTTAGATGAGAATAGTTTATTATTTTATTTTATAAATATTTATAAAAAAAATGTATTTAAATTGGACAATAGTGTTGACTCACAACTAAATAATACATTCCCTTTAGTAAATGGTAATCTAGGAGCGACCGAATGTTTTAAGAGCATGCCTTCTTATTAATGGAAGTCAGAACTTGTGTCACTTTCAGGTATGTAGAATGTAAAAGGGATTCCACCCCCTCAAAGAAAAATGTTGAAGAATCATGATTGAGATGTGGACTCGTCAATTAATATGCACCTCATGAATTAATTTGATTATATATTTTGGATCTGAAAAGGATCAATACCACATTTAAAAAAATTATAGTATGTATAATTTTGGACGTTAATTAAGGGACAAGAGGAGGAAAGTGAACTAGAAAAAATAATGTTTTATTTATTGAAGAAAAAGTAAATTTCAGTTCTACATATGCTGACCCTTTGTTGCATTAATATTACGTAAGAGTGACATTTAACAATTAACATATCTTAAGCATGCAATGGGAAGTTGATATTATTCATATTTTGATGGAACAGTCAAGGGGTTGATTTCCAGCATAATATGGTACAATTCATGATAAATATATCGCTCGTCTTTTCTCTTATATATATATATATATATTTCTAACGTTATTTTTAATTTTAGTAGTGATTTGAATTTTTTTTCAATTCTTTTTTTCTTTTTAACGTGGGGCCTATGTCTGTGAAAGTACTGCATGAAGTGCTTTTGCTGAAATTCAAATCTCTAGCAAAATCCATTGTAAGTACGGTATTTGTGTATATTTATTATGTCTTATGGTATAAGTTATGAAACTTTAGCAAGGATTTGTAGCAATATTACATGTTGCTTATCAAAATGAGTGTTGGAGTTACACGTAAGTTATGTAATTAAATAAGCAAAAGGTTTATTAAATCAATAAATTATTATTACAAATTTCATAAACAATTAAAATTATAGATTGTTAAGAGGTTTTAGTCCAATAGAAATAAATAATTTATTTATATACATGGAATCAAAATAATGTATGTACTTAGTATTGGTTACTTCAATTTAACTCACAGATACTCTTACAGCTTAAAAAAAGCATCAAAATAAAATTGTCTGTACAGGCAAAAAGGTTGCTGTGACAAATTTTATCTCATCAAATTCTGTGAGCTAGGTGTGAATATGAGTAGAGTTAACGTAGACTTTTTAAGGCTCGAGTCTAACTGACTTTCAAAAATCAAATATTTAAATTTAATTTATATTTAGTATACGTTTTTTTTAGTTAACATATAATTTAATAGTTTTTAAAGTTTCTATCTTAATTAAAAATTTTATTTGAAGTTATACTTTACCATAAAGTCTATTAAATAAGGTTATAATATACTTTTAAATAAGATAGATAATGAACTTACACTCATATGAGTGTCAATAAACTTTAAATTTTTTAAATAAATTAGTAATTAAATACATAATTAATTTAATTATATTTTTAGTCATCATACTTTAATTTATATGCTAATTATAATTTCTAAAATTTTAATTAGTCACATTTCATCTTAAAACTTCATTAATATATGATCAATAAAAGTATATTGTATCAATAATTTATATAAATATAAATATATATATAATTAAATAAAAATATGAAATGATTATATTATATTTAATTTAATTTTTAAATATTTTTTATTTTATTAGTTTATACAAATAAATAAGAACTCACACCTTTGTTATATTTCTTTTTTTTTTTTTTTGCTAATATGTTATATTTCTTTGATAGTTACTAAATGAGATTTAGAGGTGAACTTAATTTGAATAAACGAAACTAAAATTTTATTTAATCCAATTAATGTTATTAATAATTATTATGTTTATCTTTTAAATTTATTAAATTTAAAGTAATTATGTTAAATATATTTAATTATTAATTTTAAAATAACTTAATGATTAGCAGAAAATATACTAATTATTACTAATATAACACGTACAACAAGATATTCTTATGTGCGTGCGTAACTATAGTAAGTAGTGGGTAATCCAACAATAGAGTTTATTCTAAAAACAATGAGTTAATTTTGTTTTTAATTAGGTATTTGGTAATACGTGTAATAGTGTTGTTGAACAACATGGTGCAACGTGCACTCATATTGTCCACAAGTTGAAATAATTTACAGCATTATTTACTGTACTTAGTTCAAAATTATGGACAGCATTAATTAAGAGATTAAGATATAAAAGGAAAGGATTGGGGTGGGGTGAGGGGACCACTATCTCCATAATTGATAAGTTTAGAGTCAATTTCTTTAAGGATCTTTGCAAGTTAATTAATTAGCTATGAGTTCCACATATATACATAATATGAGGTTACATCAAAAGATATAAACCTAACTCACAGCATCAGAGGGAATTGCCTGCCACTGTGTCCCCTTATAAAACCCACCCACTCTTCTTCTTCATCTTCTGCCATATCATCAATGTAGATAACTACACACTACCATACACATAACTTTAATTTGCTTCACTTTATTCTTTAAGCAAGATAACTATATATTTTTTATTTATAAATATTTAAATAAAAATTTAAAAGTTGAAATTAATAAAACTCTACGTGTACATAGAAATGTAAAAAAAAAAATTTTAATATCAGAGTGAGAGAGATTTTCATTTTTTTTATATTTAAGTTTTTTATACAAATTACAAAAATAACTGTTATTTTAAATTTTATAAAATTTAGTATTTTATTTAATACATTATATTAATTATTTTACTTATTTTTATCAAATAAATATTGATTATTAAAGATAAACTTATTAAAAAGTTGGTTGATCATTAATTTTATAAAATAATAATAAAGAGCGAATGAAACAAAATTATTTAAAAATTAGAAGGAATATATATATATATATATATATTGGGTACTTGAGCACAGCTGAGAGCAACGTGTCTGTGTTTGAGAGGATTAAAGTATACAGATGAGTGAGAATATGGGGAAAGTCTCAGAGAGAGAAGGCTTTAAGTACAATTTCACAGCTGCGACTACAAGTGACAGTTCTGCGCAAGATGGAGTGATTAAAGAGCAAGATCGGTTGCTTCCAATAGCTAATGTGGGGAGGATCATGAAGCAAATCCTCCCTCCAAACGCTAAAATCTCAAAGGAAGCTAAAGAAACCATGCAAGAATGTGTGTCTGAGTTCATTAGCTTTGTCACCGGTGAAGCCTCTGACAAGTGTCACAAGGAGAAGCGCAAGACAGTGAATGGAGATGATATTTGCTGGGCCTTGGCTACCCTAGGGTTTGATGACTACGCTGAGCCTCTTAAAAGGTATTTGCATAAGTATAGGGAATTGGAAGGGGAGAGAGCCAATCAAAATAAAGCTAACAACACTTATCAAACCATATAATTAGGCAAGTTTAACCTCCTCTTGTACCCCAATTAATAGCCTTTGTTCAATGTGATTCATAGGTCAAACTGCTGCTTCTTGTTGATCTTGTTCCCACATTTGATATATGATATGATGTGAGTGTTTTAGACTTTATTTAAATTACTGAGTTTGATACTAGATTAAGAAATATATAGTAGCTTGAGAGTCATGTGAGTTAATTAATTATAACTAATCTTTGTATTTGTGTGTCCTATAATAATAAGCTCTAATTCCAGAAGTCATGAGCAATTGACACTACCTCATGCATCATCTTGTCCTGAAAATTGGGAATTTGAAGATCTTAATTAATTAGCTAACTTTTTACACTTAATTGTACTCCCACATCATCTTCTTGTAAATTGGGAATTTGCATATCTTAATTTGAACATTAGCTAAGGTTGCATCTTGGTTCGCAGCCTCCACTGTTCTAAAGTTCAGCCACGAGTACCAAAAGGATGAGTACCTCTGCCTAGGTTAATCCTTTGCAAGAGATTTTGAAAATGTGAGAATGGAAAAGAAATCTTTACCCTATGCTTGGAGCTAGACTTTGGAGTAATTAATGGAGTGCTGGGAGCATTAGAGAACCAAAATGTAATAGCACGCTAATCATAGTAAATACACCAAAACAGCTTAATAACATGCTTATCGAGATGCAAGTCATTATTTCCCCATTCCAAAAAGTCGATTGTTTTATACCCTAAGTAAGAAATATGGTGGATTCATCAGACGAAAACATGCTTTTGTCGTGCATATGAATTCAGATATATCATATGACTATTTTTTATGATTTATTTTATGCGGTTAACATAACTATGATCTATAGCTAAATGTTTTTGTTTTGTCAAATCCTTTTGCTTATTTCCAAATCTAATCGTGTAAAAATTGTTTCCCTTTTTTGTTCGGATTTGAAATCCAAAATATTTAAAAACTACTTTTGCTTTGTTTAAATTGTTTTGCTTATGTCCAAGTCTGTTATTGTTTTAATTGTTTCATTTTATCACTCTATCTTCGAAAGGGAAAATTTTTGAAATTTAAATTAATTGAAGAGGAAATAGATAAGAATATTTTTTTCTTAAAAAAACATTTTTCTTATTTTTCTTTTCATTTTCTAGTAACAACTTCTCAATCACATAGATTATAATTTTGAACCCTTATTATTTATAAGTTGTTTTGAGCCTCAACTAGTTTGGATAAAGACACATGAACTTAGTTAATGAGATAAATATCTCATAACATTAATTTTTTTATATAAAAATGTTAATTTCAAGTTAAGGAACTAAATTTTAAAAAATTATTTATTATATTTTATAAATTTAGTATAATGAATATATTTTTTAATAAAAATTAATCACTCAGGAATACTTAAACTCAATTATAAATGTCGAGGTTAATATAATTTTTTTTATTTACAAAATTAGAGTCCATAATGTTATTTAAGAGATACTAGACACTTTATATATAAAACTAACATATATTAATTAACTAAAGATTTTAATCACACTTTGGATATATTATTAATTACGGCACGAAGAACAATATGGTAGTTAATTACGCTCACCTCATTATAAACTTTATATTTGATCACTGAAGGATAAGAGAATTCATTATACAGTGTTTGATCTTGAAGGACAGAAAGTGAAGTAAAGAAAAAAGGCGCGAGATGGAATTTAAGAGTTTCTTTCATTCAAAAAACAACGAGAAGCGGTTCATTTTTCTTGAAATATATGCCATTTAATCACACACACAATATTTTAATGGATTGGTTTAACTAGTTATATTAGAAACCAGTCAAGTATCGTCCAAACCCTTAAATTAAATTATTAAATTTTAAACTAATATTTTTACCACTTTACTTCTAAGTCTGATTTTTAAAAGCAATATTTTTCAGTAAGTACCCTAGCTAACCCATTAATTAGCCAGGGAATTAAATCAACTGCTTACTGATTTATTCTTCTTGACTGATATATAAATGTGCAGAAAACACATATCTAATAAAAATGGAAAACAACATTAAAGACAAGCCAGTTTGTCTACGTGGCTGATGTTTGACTCTATTACTTAACTTTTGTCGGAATCTTCATCACTAATCCAGTATCCATTATATTTGGGCAGCAAGATATGTTCATAGGCAACGTTGTTGAGATTCAAAACCCTAGCTAGCAAAGTCCTGGGACCACATATTACTGGCTCTACCTCCCATAATACTTTTGTCGTATTGGGTTTGAACTCCGGTGATTGCTGGGTCTCGATGAACCTGACACGTTTAATATATTAAAAGAAAATTGGATCATCTTCAAACAAGTTAGGATGATTCTGTGTCTAAGTCTGTTGGAAGTTTTTGTCTATGTACAGGTTATTTAGAAACAAGAGACAATGAGATGCAAGACACTGTCCTGTTTGCTTTCTAAAGCTGGTATATGTTAAGGATATCGCTAAAAACGAGAATTTGAATACAAATTATAAGTTAAATTAGGAAAAAAAAAATAAGTACGTTGTCTCTGGTACCATTTTATTTTAATTAACTACTATATGAGAATAAATTCTCTTTTCAAATTGAAGAAAAACAAAGATACTTATCAGACATTAAACTCATGTTTTTAATTCTTCGAAAACCACTTGAAATATCAACAGTTGGATACAAGAAAAAAATAAACTTAAAAGAAATTCTTTTAATGTATACATTGCTCTATTATTTGTATCAAGTACTCATTAATTTTATTTTATAGAATCTTGGTCCAGTTATAATTTTCTTTGGTTGAAATGATTATTACATAAAAATTCAAGAAATTAAAAAAATAAAAAAACATTACCTTTGTCTTTTTTGGAATACTATTTATTTTGCTATAAATTAAAAACAATTGAAAAACTACAAGCTATAATATTGATGAAAAAGACAATCACCTAAGATCCTAGGAAGAATGCAAAATGAGTTGTATCATACTAAGTCTAGAACAAAATGAAATGAAAATTAAAGGATCATATATACATGCTGTAAATAAAGATACATGACTTTTTTATAACGATACATGACTTAAAGAAATGTGTTGGGTCATGTCTTGGTCACCCCTCAACAGAGCCAGGGAACCCAGGCTCATAACTCGATGTGTAATTATATTACGTTCACCATAATTTGTAGCGTTAGTGACTTCTCTTCTTTTTAATAAGGTTTATTGAAAGAATTCAAGTAATGTAATTAATATATAGTATATGATCTAAAGTAAAATAAATGATGAAAGTAAAAACGCCACTAGAGACAAATAAAGATGGTGAATTTCATTGAACTCCTCCCATTGCAAAGGAGCCTTGTCCTATACCTTGAGTTATGAAACCTCTTCAATTTGATGATTTTGCCATCCCATTAAATTTCTCTAAATGTGAAATACGCTAGTATGCATACTGTCTTAAATTCAATATATATGCTCCAAAATTCCTACTTGTATATATGAAATGGGATTACCCATTTATTGTCTTTTTTTATATATTAAACATTATTTTTTTTAATTTAATTTTAATTCGAAATTTATTTTTTATAATTTTTAAAATTTTAAAAATTCCTCACTTTAATTTAATTTACTTTTATATGATAAAATCTCTATTATTAATACAAATATTTAATTTCTAATTTATAAAATTTATCGAATTTAAAAATAATCATATAATAAGGTTTATTTTTTTATTTAAAAAACATTTCAATTTAATAGTATTCATATAAAATGTAAAACTACTAGTTAATAAAATAATAATAAGTTTGTATCTAAGACAACTTTTATACACCGGCCAGTTGCAATTATATATATATATATATATATATATATATATATATATATATATATATATATATATATATATATAACCCTTACTGAGTTATTGGGTCGGGAAACCTTCTCACTTTAATATAATTAATTGTGAGTCCCTTTCTTTCTTTTTTGTTATTCTGATGATTTGATTATTTTTTATCTTTGAAAAAATTTTCAAAACTCCCACCACCGAAGTCGAAAAGGTCATTATGAAAATTATATATAATACTGGCTTGAGGTATGTATTTCTTCTGAGTAACGTTAAGCTAGAAAATAATACACCCACAAAGAAGTTTAAACACACACGAACACTATCTCAAGTTCTTAACATTTTAAAAATATATGTAGAGAAGAACTAAAAGAAATTCTCAACGTTATTTAAAAGGTGAAATTTTTTTAAAAATAAGTAAAATATTGTGTTATAACAATTGAGTTTCATATAAAATGAGATATCAACAAGTTAGAAGTATATAAAAAAATAAATCACATACTTATTATCTTAAGATTTTGAAATTGTATTGTAGTTTCCTATTTATTTTAGAAACTCTTTATTCAACAATAATTTGTATATAATTAAAGAAACAGAAAGTAATTTCAACTAAAAAAAATTATAGCTTTGCATTAGATATATAGATTATTAAATTTTCATGCACCTGTTTATCAAAGCCAAACATTTTTATTTCTAATTTCAAGGCAGACAGAAAATATTCCTTCTATTTTAAAATGATTATCAGTTTTAACTTTTTCTAGAAGAATAACACAGAGACAATTATTTTTTTTAATAATTAATTAAGAGGATCTAATAACTTTCTCAACTTTATTTTGTAACAAATACAAATCGAAAGAGACTTTGACAACATAAGACGTTAACAACTTCGAAATCTTTATCTTTTCTTGCAATTTTCATAGCGAAATGTAAAAGTAAAACTATGCACCACCAAATAAGCATTCTCCACGGTTATCACTGTTTCTTCTTCTGATTATTTACGCACTGTTCTATTCTCTCTAAAGTTCATAAGTCATTCCCACTTTGACCATACGCTTATGAGGAACATAAAAAACTTTATCACTTTGCCTCAAGTTCTTTTTCAGAAAATTATAAGCATAATCTATGAGAATCCGTTTCCCTATGCTTGCTCCTTTGCAAGCAACCACATCACTTTCACCAATCAAGTGAACGATGCCTGCCCTCACTGCTTTTTCAATTGCCTCCACCTCTTTCTCAACACTCTCTACCACCACTTTCTCTTTGTCACCACTTTCTTCTACCCCATCATACTCATCATCACCCCCACCATTCATTTTTTCTTCAATTTTTTCATCCTTTAGCACTGCTCTCTGGGATGCAAAAGATTCACCAGCAACAAATGCCTTTAGCCTTTCAATCAGTAAATTCTCAAAAGGCTCATTCTCATTCCTTACATCAGTGTATCCATATCTAGCAACACACCTGAACACATTGAGTTCTTCATGTTCCACATGGCGAAAAAGAAACCTCTCTTCCATAGGAACTTTGCTGATAGGCAATGATTTGATGGACACAAAGACAAGTACAGAATGCAGTGCAGGAACATTTTCCACATAATGCTTGAAAATGGGTGGTATGCCTTGAACAAGTTCAGAATAGAACATGGCAAGGCCATGCATTCTTACTATGTTTGTGCCAGTAGCTATCTCCTTAAGCTTCTCTGGGGAAATCTTGTGATCCAATTCGTAATAGTACTTCCTTCGATACACATCATTCCAAATGTACATGATGGTCATTAGCACTGCAGCAAAGGCAAGAGGAAGATACCCTCCTTCTTTGAATTTGTATAGCACTGAGCTTAAATACACAAGCTCAACTGAACCAATGATAAGCACATAACTGATAACCAAAAGTATGTGGGTCTTCCATATCATGATCATTATTAGCACTAGCAAAGCAGATGTAAGTGTCATCACGAACACCACTGCTATCCCTGGATGCACAAATTCATGCATTAGAATCTTCAATGCCCATAAATATTTTTTTTTAACTTATTAACAATGCCCAATTTAGATGGTTACACAAGACTAAAATCGGAGGGTTGAAAGGATTAAGCAAGTTACCATAAGCATTCCCAATTTTTGTGGTGTTTTTAAATCCAGCTGTGACTGCAACACATGCAATCATGAGAATAAAATTGATTTCGGGGATGTAAACTTGTCCTTCATACTTGGCTGATGTATGCACTATTTTCACCCGAGGAAAACATCCTAGCGAGAGAGATTGTTGAATAATGGAGAAAGTTCCAGAGATCATGGCTTGAGAAGCTATGATGGATGCCATAACAGCAACAACAAACATTGGCCAATATAAAGGATCTACAAAAAATATGAAGCCATCATTAACTATAACACAAATCTGCTTAATTTAATTTCTTTTCTTGATAGTTTTGAATTGAAGTGGTTAAATTAAATTACGAGGTATGGACTTGTAGAAAGTGTCGGGAACATGCTGGTTGTTTTTGCGAAGAAAGGAAGCTTGTCCAGTGTAGGCAAGTACAAGAGCAGGGTATGTTACAGAGCACATGCTTATTTGTATGGACCGAACTGTGAAATGTCCGACATCGGCAAATAGTGCTTCAGTTCCTGCAATTTTAGAGTGATGACCAGCAAAAGCCTAAGAATGATTAAAACCGTGTTCGGTTATGTGTCGAATCCACTTTTCAACGCTGCAAATTATAACTTTTATGTTGAAACGTGGTTTAAACTAATTTTATTAGGTTTCACTTAGTGTTATGTATATACACAAAATAGAAAACAAATATGAACCTGTTATGGCCAGCACAACCCCACCAAGAGAAATCCAAGCATCTTTCTTGTTCCTTCTAAAATAATCTACAATATATTTTGGATTTATTGCTTTCACCACTGTTGGATCATATTTGATAAAATTGTACAGACCAATGCCTCCGATAAAGGTGAACCACACACATATGATAGGGGCAAAACTGTATCCTACTCTATCAGTTCCGAATCTTTGAACCATGAAAAGGCATATCAGGATTCCTATGGATATTCCAACAACCTCACCTGCGTATAATCAAACAAATTTGTATTAATCATTATCATATAACACCGTTCCTCACCTGCTATGCCTTAAAACCAGAGTATCTATTGTAACACCTGGTACTTCAAATTTTGAGAAAACTTTACAAAGCAGCACATTAAAAAACTGTATTATAAAAATAGATATATGCATTTTCCTTGTTCCTCTAATAACAGTAGTTATTGTTTTATTACCATATCCATCCAACGGAAAAAACAATACAATTATATCTTTGTTCAGAGGCCTGCGTTTTTCATATTATTTTCTTTCAATATTTCTGTTCTATTAACTTGTATTGTATATACCTACCCTCAGTTACTGAAGAAGCAGCTTCCTTGATCCCTCCCACAGCAGATAAAACTGAAAATCACATGAAATATTATTTATTCCATATGTTCAAAGAATGCTCTTGAGACAAATGAAAAAATAAATACAGTAAAAAAATTAATGGTATTAGTATCAAAGAAACAAATTGTATGACATAAACAAGAAAATAAAATTAGAATAACCGGAGATGCAAGGAGTGAGAACACCATCCCCAATGACCATAGAAGTGCCAAGCATTGTAACTAGCAAGAGGAAGAGCTTAGCAAAGTAGCTTTTCTCAAGCTTAGACTTAAGCCTTGAGGCTCTCTTTATCCGGTTATTATTGGGCAATTCCAATTGATAATTTGACACTTCTGCATCTTCAAGTTGTTGATTTGGAGTAAGTCCCACTTTGGCATAACGGCATATCAAAGAGTACAAAGCGAAAGTCCCTCCTAAAATATGTTCAATACAAATTATAAATTAATATTATTACATGTCAAATTTTGCATGAAAACTCATAATACCACATGGTATTTCATGTTTTAATTTCCTTCTTTGTAAGTGTCTAGATTAACCACAAACTGTTAATTTTAATAATTTTCATGTCTACCTTTCCCATTTCTTAGCCAATTTAAAAAAATGGATATACGTTTAAACAATTTATTAAAAAATATATCTTTTATATACAAAAGATACTTATTTGTAAATGGTTCTTAACTTTGTGGCTGATATCTTAAAACATAATACAGTAAAATATTAAAAGAAAAGAAAGAGAGGGTTGAATATGCCGGTGCGTACCATCGCCGTTATCATTGGCTCGTAAGACAATGAATACGTACTTAACAAGAGGAATGAGAGTGATGGTATAAAAGATCAAAGAAAGAACACCCAAAATGTCATCGTTGTGCTTTATGCCATGCGTGAAGGTACTTGCATACACATACAAAGGTGATGTTCCTATGTCTCCGTAGACAATTCCGATGCTTTGAAACGCTAGATGCATAATCACCGACATCGATGGCCCCTAAAAACCATTATATAATATAATATAAAAAAAAAATCAACCATGTTAATATTTATACAAACATTAACGTTGGATTTACACTTGGGAAAGATGGAAGATGAAATATATAATATATATACTTTAGAGGCATGAGAGGATTTAGGGAAGCTACGAGATTCCATGTCCAGAGAATCATTTCTTGGCAACTTTTTCCATGAAAGCTTCTTCCCCGTGAGCCCATGATGATTGTTCTGCTCTGTGTTTTCAATATTGTTTCCATTGTTCTCCATACCCACTAATCCTACTTCAGAAGACATCTTCACAATTAGGCTATATATTATGAACAAGCTCAAAAAGAGTTGCACAGATATTTAATCAGTGAATATTTTTCTCTTTGTCAAGTTACATGCAAGTCACACGTACACATGACAAGATCAAATATAGTGATCACCGACCAGAGAGCAACAAGAGCGCTTCGTGAGTAGTACGGTGAAGAACATTAGGAATGTTATGGATCATATGGAGGGATATATATATATATAAATTAATAAAAGAAAAAGGAAGACCGTGGAGTAACACAGGCTATCTTAAATTAGTTTCATTATCTTAGCTAGCATAAAAAAATTAATACCATAAGTGAGATTGTATATAAATATTTTTTGTTTCATTGTTTAATCATCTAATAGTTACCTTTTCTTATTCCTTTCTAGTTCGACGAAATGTAAGGTGAAGTCATATATTTTATCATGAAATATTCAAATAATCCAATGACTACTTTATTTCGAATTTATTCATAAAATATACAAATTCTTTCTTATTTAACACAAGAATAATTTTTAGTTACACACCATTTAGTTCAAATGAAAAAGAAAGGGAGACATTTTGATAGAGAGGAGAAATGTATATCTTATTGATTCACATGAAGAGGGAAAGTAAAATAAATAAATTTATTATTCTATATTTAGAATGATTTGAAATACATATTAAATTAAAAAAATTGTTTGATTAATTTTAAAACTTCTCTCTCGTAAATCCACATTTTCATAGTAATCAAGTTCCTTCTTTTCATAAAGTTTACAATTTTTAGGTGTGAATTCAAGACTCATTTTCTTCCAAACTGACAATTTCTTTCCATTAATGTTTTTATCAGTCAAATATTTGTATCATCTAACTCAAATTTATTTATTAGTAAAGTTATCTTAGTGACTGGTAATCGTGACATTTTACTATATATGCTTCTTTCGTAAACGTGTTGAATACGCGTATGGTACATATGTAATTTATTTAAATTTTGTGGTAAAAAAATTCAGAAGTAATGAAATATAATTTGTTTATGGGACAGAAATTATCCAAATTTGAAAAAGTTGTTAGATAATGCATATTATTTAAACATATTATGTTAAACCAAAAAATAGGTTTCCATTTTTCAATTTGTCATCAATTTTAAGTTTTACTAATCAATTTTTCTACTTTCAATTAGCAATGTATAGGAGTTTTTTAGATGGACTTTTTTTTATAGTATTTATTTTGTAACTGTTGATACACTTGAGTTACAAAATTAAATACTTATCTTTTAAAGTGATAAAAATCTGAACTCGGTCCTTTTCATTTGTATGTTAGCATGAAACTTTACTCTTACATTTTAACTATATTTGCTAAAGTTAAATATTTATTGCAATAACTATATTCTATTACAAATGAATCATATTGAAATGCTACCGATCAATTGAATTTGAAACAGTAAAAGCTTTGCAATAACTTACAAATATTTTTAACATTAGCAAGTATTTTATGTATTGTAAGGATATTTTAAATTTATTTAAGTACAATTTTTAAAAAAATTAAAATAAATAATATTTAAAATTAAAAGCATAATTAATTTATAAAGAAAAAAGATAAACTTTAAAAAAATTAAGAGTATAGCTAATTGAGATTTAGAATGAAAAAAGTAATATAAAATTAAAAAAAAACAAGGAAGTTAAGCTTTCATAAAGAACTAACATTAAAAGAAACACTTGAAAGTCAATAATTACATATTTTATAAATATAAAATAACTGTTAAATAATAGAAAAAACATGTGTCACAAGAAAAATGAGAATACAGCAGGATGTCCATACATTTAAAAGTGATAACTCAAATTCATAATACAGGAATGAATTATATTAAAAGAAAAATGAGAATAAAAAATAATTTTCTATTGATATGCACAATACGAAGCAAGGAAATAAAAATAAAAATACAAAATACAAAATAGAGGTCACCTTATGTGTAAGTCCAATAATTTGTAATGTTAAAATTTAAAAACTAAAAATCAAAGTTATGTTGAGAGAAATTATGTCCACTTTATTGAACTTTTTGACCGGCCATAAAAAATAAAACTGATTTAATAAATGTAGTTGAAATTTAAATATGATTAAAAATAAAAATAAAAATACTGCTTATGCAAATATAATACTATTATTTTACCCAAAAAAAATATAATACTATTATAAACTTAGATAATTACGCAAGTCCATCGATTTTCACGAGAAAGAAACAAATAACAAAAAAGAGGTATTTGTCACATGTCATTAGCTTCCCATTATGTGCCCAATTTGCTATGATCACATTATTAGTTCTTCTTCTCAATTTACTGCTTTCACGTTTTGCTTGCTGCTGCTTGCAACCACATTTTTCAACCTTTGGAATCGTCAAAGGTTATCAAACTTCACTCAAACAATGTCACACGTCTCTTGTCTAGTCAATATAATTTTTATTAGTTTATAAAATTAAAATTTCTAAAATTAAAATATAAAAATATGAAAGAAATAAAAGTATAAATGTCACGTTATATATTATTTGCATCAGTTATATTATATTAGTAAAATTGAATGTGGCATCGATACATGCTAAATAAAACTAGCAAATTATTAATATACATAGAAAAATGATATAAAAATAATAATATTTTTTTAGAGACTTGTTTGAGAAAATAGAAATGAAATGTGAAAATTATGATTTTTTAAAAAATTAAAATATTATATAAGCTTTTTCTTATAAAGTAATGAAATTATTTATAATCTTAATCTTAAATTCAATTTTTATATGATTGAGATGAACGAAACAAAAATCAAATAATATGAATGCTAGCCATGCTCTATCTACCACATTAAATTAAAAATAAAAAAAGTATGACTTATTTAATTTTTAATAAATTTTAATCAATATAAAAAATATATTACTAGCTCGACTAAAAAATAATGAAAGAATGGTATCAAAGAATTTAGTGTCCCTTGAGTATCTTTGACTTCTTTAGATCTCTTTTCCATGAGCAGCTAATAGTCTCCTGTGGGATCATAATTTGGGATATTCATATCCAAATTGTCAGTCAAACAGTCATGTTTAATAAGAATAGAATAGTTTGTTTATATTTATTGTGTATGAAGCCCTTCATACTCCATATGAGTAATTTTTTTCATTGATATGGGCTACAAAAATAATAATAATAATTCAGAGACCTACCCATAAATGGATAAAAGTTAAATTTTCATGCTCAAAGTGTCTAATTAAAATTTTAATTTTAATTTTATTTTTTGAACTCTTAAAACTGAGTTTAAACATATAAAAAGATAATTTTTATATATTAAAAATACATATGTATTACATTAAAGTTATAAAAATAAAATAAATACTTTTTTAATAAAGTTTTATTATTATTAATTCCTCAAACTCAAATTAACATTTTCCTTAAAAATATTTTCGTCATCTTAATCAAGCATGAATACAAGGGTTTATTTGTTGCTATCTTAAACTGTCTGCATCGTTTTGGACTAGTCTCCACGAACCTGGCTAGGAATTGCCGGTTCAGATGCACCAACGTTAAGGAACACGCCACTACACTGTCAGAGTAACAATGTTCTTTTGGTGTCTATGCTTTCATTATGACAATAATTGCACCTTTTCAAACCAAAGAGGTTAATTATTTGAAATTAATTGAAGAGGTTGCTTTCCAGCTTTCAGATTCTGTCAACAACTAAGCAACATTGTTTACAGATTTCGTGTGTTGCCGCTTGCCTTTCTTGCACTTCAATGACACAAAGCTTGTATAAGAATATGAATATACCTACTTGGGACAAAGTATCCGCGTCTGATTTTGTTTGACATGCAAAACTTTTACTCAGCAATACACTTCCAATGAATTTCAAAATTGTTTCCTTTCCATGATTGATTTTCAAATGGATTTTGTGATTGGATTTCTCTCGTCTATGGTTACCACAAAGTTCATTAAAAGATCTATGAAAAAGTTCACCTAATTTAATTATCAAAAATCATTTCTCTTTCATTTATATTGTTCACTTGCACACCCGTTTAGCCATGGCACTTGTTTCTTGTTGATCAATAGCTGATATTGACTGGCCTTCCAACCAAAGGCTAAACCAGCCTTTGCTTGCTGTTTAGTCACAGCTTGTCAACTTTTCTTGCTTCTGATTTGACCTTATTTAGTTTTTGGGTGTATCTACTATGATGCCTTAGTTTTCGTTTGTCCTAGTGTGGCTTTTGTTTGTCTACAATAGTTACTTCCCTAGTTTGAGCAGATACTGATTTTTAGTTAAATAGATCAGATTGAAATTTTAATTTTAAAAACTGATTTGTAGCCTGTTTGTAAAAAATTGAAAATAAAATTTACATGAATTATGCTTCAGATAGGTGTGTGTATATATATAAAATAAATTAAAAATCATTTAAAAGCCATAGATTAATTTTATAATTATTTCTCTGCCAATTTCTTTAGTAACTCATGACTCGTGAAAATAAGAAAATTTAATCGTAGGAGCGGAAATAAATAATTTAAAGAATCTATTTTTTTTTATAAGTAGAATAAGGATAAACTTGTTTTATGAACACTTCTGCTAGGTATTAGTTTTTCGTTAAATTATTTCCGTTGAACTAAAAGAAAGTGATGCAAAGCGGAACTCATTAATCTTAAAGTATTCTATAGATGTTTAAGACATCAAGTCGTTGTAGTATAGTGGTGAGTATTTCCGCCTGTCACGCGGACGACCCGGGTTCGATCCCCGGCAACGGCGTTTGTTTTTGCGTCATCTTTTCAGCTTTTGTAAAACAATGAGTTGGAGCTTCTCTTACAAAATATCCATGGGCTCTAGGAGCGAGGCCCGTGAGGGAGCCCACCAACAATCGGATTTTTAATTTAAACACAATAAATGATTATGATAAAAAACTTTCTGGCTTACAAATCTAAACAATGATAAAGGACGAAATTGCCCTCGGGTAGTTTCGAATTCACGGCAACGAACACTGGTGGCGGGAGAATCCTCGTGTAACTGAAGTGGCATGCTAATCGCTTATGCTATTTCTGAATGGCCACTTCACTCTCTTATTGCCCAAACCCTAACCCTACCTTTCTCTATGATCAATCCCAATCCTTCGATTTTGATTCCACAATGATTCCCCGCTCTCAAACTCCTTCGCCGGAATCTCCTCCCTCACTCCTTACACTCTCATTCAACCAAGACCAAGCTTGCTTCGCCGTCTCCTCCGCCGCCGACACCAGCTTTCGAGTCTACAACACCCACCCCCTCCACGAGCTCTTCCGCCGAGAGTTCGCCGGCGGCGGATTCGCTCACGTCGAGATGCTCTTCTGCTCTAACATACTTGCTCTAGTCGGCGCCGGTTCCCATCCTCAGTTCCCTCCGAACAAGGTCATCCTCTGGGACGACCACAAGGGCAGGTGCTTCGGCGAGCTCTGCTTCCCCTCCGCCGTCCGCGGCGTCCGTCTCCGCCGCGACCGCATCGTCGTTGCCCTCGAGATGAAAGTATTCGTGTACGATTTCACGAACTTCAAGCTGCTGCATCAGATGGAGACCCTGGCGAATCCCAAGGGACTCTGCGCGGTTTCGCAGGTGGTCGATTCGGTGGTTCTTGCATGCCCCGGCTTGTGCATGGGTCAGATACGATTGGATCACTTTGAGCGGAAGAAAACGAGTTTCGTTTCGGCTCATGACTCGGGGATTGCTTGTTTCTCCCTCACACTTGATGGCAAGTTCCTCGCCACCGCCAGTACCAAGGGCACCATCATTCGGGTTTTCGATACGGCCCATGGAACTCTGCTTCAGGAAGTATGCGATCTTTGAACATAACGTTACTGTGCTTGATTGAGGTTAATTGTGTTGGGAAGTACAATAATTAGAGTGATTGATTAATGATTAGGCTAATAGTAAAAGGCATGCCTTATGCTCATTTATCTAATAAGTTAGATATTGATGTATTCATTATTAGCTATTCTCTATTACCATGTTTTGTTTGTCTCCTTTGAAAATTGAATTTAATATGGATAATTCATGCTCTTTCTGTTCCTTTCTCAACTCGAGTATAAATTTATTGAAATTTAAACTCAGGTAAGAAGGGGTGCAACTGCAGCAGAAATCTACTGTTTGGCATTCTCTTCTACTGCTCAGTGGTTAGCAGTCTCCAGTGACAAGGGCACCGTCCATGTTTTCAGTCTTGACGTTAATTCTAGCGGCATGGGGCATGAAAAGCAACCAAATGCGTCCAATTCTGATGCTGCCATTACACCATTTAGCTCAGCTCTCTCATTCATTAGATTTAAAGGTTTTTTCTTTTTTAATGTTTGTTCTGATTTGAGTATATATTTTCGTTTGCTGTTATTGTGTATGAATATGCAATTTTATTGATTAATAAGACGCTGTATAAAAGTTTTTAAATTGTAATAGATGATGAATAGACAAGAATGTTAAATCAATGGCACCGAGCGAACTGTGTATTTTGAAGAGCATTCGTTTTTTCTTGCTTTTGTTATACGCAACTTGCAGTGCGTGACATTGATTTCATGTAATTGCTTTGTGTTGTCAAATTAGCCAAAAGGGCGCAGAAATCATTTTTCTAACTCAAATGGAGCATTCATAATAAATTGAATTAGGAAATTTAAGATTTTTGTGCAGGCCAAATCAGATTTTGCAATGGTAAAGGAACTCTTGCTGCTTTTCCATTTTCAGAGGAATAGATTCTGTGCAACAGTTTTGAAGTTACCAAACAAAACTGTCCGATTTCTTCCAAAATGGTTTTTGCCTTTTTGGCTTCAAGCTGTTGTTCTAGAGATCTCAAACAGAAAGCTAAACACCCTAGGCTGAATCATCTGTCCCAATGTCTTTCACCTGAGAATTGAAGTTGCGTAAGAAAAGGAGGAATTATTACGCTACTGTCAATTGAAGATTTTAAATGGTCCTTTGTTAACATATATCTTATATGAAGCAGCTCAGTTCTGAATTTATGATGTACTGATGCGTTTTAGATAGAAGATACAACTCTTCCCCTGGATGAGTGTTGACCAATCTTTAAATGAGGTCAACAAAATTTAATCTGAGTTGTTATAAAAAAAGCTACAGCATATTAGATTTCCCTTGCTTGGCTGTTTTAACCAAAATTATAGCTTATTTCTTTTCCCACGTGTTTGAGTTTCTCCTTATTTTATTGGCTTAATTGTTTAAGACTGAAGGCTGATGACCAATGGAGTACTTTATTGTTTCAGTTTAGCAATCTATATATTGTTTTTCATGATATTTGGCTCTGTCACAGAATAATTATCGATTCTTGTTACCCTTGATAATCTTGTTTTAACTTTGCACTCGTAGGAGTGTTACCTAAGTATTTCAATTCAGAGTGGTCACGTGCTCAGTTTCATTTGCGTGAGGGCTCTCATTACTCTGTTGCATTCGGTCACCAGCAGAATACAGTCATAATTCTTGGCATGGATGGAAGGTGATATTTTAGAAAATCGCATTTTATGAGTTTCTCTTAGGTGAAGTTGATGGCAATTTTATTTTTCTTAGATGCCGTATGTTTTGAATGATGTGTGGTTCTATTTCTTCACGTAACCATCTTTCCTTGAAATTTAACCAAATTCTTAGATGCACGTCATCTGAGATTAATATAGTATTCTTATATTTACTGTACATACTAATAGTATTACTGAATTTACATTTTGAAGAAAGGTCAAGTCATGAACAAGGGAATTGGAAGTTGGGTGACGCTATCACACTTATTTGTTTTTTCTTAAAGATAAACACCAATAGTATACTAAATTTAACTTAAGATAGCTTAAAATCCATGTCCCTTGGTCGTCCACTTAACTATTTTGTTGCATTGCATCTCATGCCTCCCTAGAAATTAGACACTCGAGTAAACTATTATTTTTGTTCATATTATTTTTAGGATTTGCAAAATAGTTCTTAAAATAAGTAAAATATCATTTTTAACCTTTAACGTATTAATCATTTTAATTATTAATATATATAATGATCAATAATTTTAATTTATGTTATCATTTAGACATTAGTTATTTTAACAAAAATTCTGTTTTAACATATTAAGTGTTAGTTGAACATAATGCATAACATTTAATAATGACATGAAGACACATTTAAAGTTTATTTTCTTTAAAATTTCGCAATCTAGTTTCTAAATAACTCATAGAGACTAAATTAATTTATTAAACATTTTTTACACAATTATTAAATATTACATATTATGTCCAATTAACACTTAATATGCAATTTAATTTGTTAAAAATAATCAATGATTATATAAATTAAAGACTAAATTGATATTTTACCTAATTTAGGAAATATTTTAATGAATCTTTTAAACTATTCCTCCGGTTGTGTATGCATGCTTTCCTTGTATGCTTTATGTTTGCTGTTAAGTGGACGTCAATGTTACGTGGACGTTAATGATCTGCAGTTGATTGTGCTGTGCAGCTTCTATCTTTGTCAGTTTGACCCCCTGCGCGGTGGAGAGATGACTCAGCTTGAATATCATAACTTTCTAACTCCAGAAATAGCCCATGAGACTCAGCCATGATATCAGTGCTGGCGTTTCAGCATTTGATTGGGATTCTTTATGTAAATGTTTTTTAGAGATAGGCGAAGTAATATTGAACCCTTTATTTTTTATAATTAGTTAACTAATTTTAAAATGATAAATTTTAAGATTTTCTGAAAGCAGAGCTATCTCATCATTTATTCGAGTTGTGCATTAGTATTGCAGTCCAGTTAGGTATGCATGATCTGATGTTCACGAAGGTGTTAAATTAATGAAGGTTGAACAATTTAAGTACTGAAAAACTTCGGGGTTGAAACTGAAGTGGCGCATCATTACCGTCATCACTTTCTGTTTATAGCTTAGGAGAACTTTTTAATTGTAAAATAGCTTTCGTATATTCTTTTAATCATTTTTCTATTAAGTTACAAAGTATTAAATAAAAATATTCATTTATGATTACGTTTAAAATATAAAACATTAAATACTTTTTTATTTAATAATTAGAAGAATTTGTATCAACAAAAGAGTAGAAGAATTTATAATTATTTATCATAAAATTTTCTTAATATCACTTTTTTGAGGTATGAAAATTAAATTCTGTTAAATTTGAGTTTACAGAAAAATTAGATGAATAAGTTTTTGAAAAAAACTTATTCATCTAATTTAATTATTTATATTATAATTAAAAAATAAAGGACTAAATTTGAACCAAAATTACTAAAAAGTAAAAATTGCACATTAATCTTTATAAAAATAAAACAAAATAATTAAATGAAAATTTCAATTAAATTATTTCTTTTATAATATTTTACGTTAAAAACTTTCTGTAAAAAATGAAAAATTGCACCAAACTGATAATACTAATTAAAGTTTTCTTGCGGCAGTCCTCATAAAAAAATCCTAAAATTCCTCTGAAATTATGCTCTGAAAGTTGTGTTTGACTGGGGAGCATCAGTAATTTTTTATTAGAGTTTTTTCTCTCTGTATTCTCTATTAACAGGTGTATCTCCTATTTTATTTCTTCTCTGCATCTATAATTATACTGGATTTATTTTTCCAATGCCATAAAAAATGGTAGATCCGATTAATTTTACCTTTTCGATGCATGGCTGATGCAGAATAAGCTGGCGAAAACAAATCCACTGACATAATAACAAGTTGCCCACTTAATTTCTAATTAAGATGGGTAATACATTCTCAAATAACCTATCTGGGTATTATGTAAACATTTTTGTAACCTTTCAAAAAGCATTTTTTAAACACAATAATTCTAGTATTTAAATTAAGGACAATGCAAATAAAGTATACCTGAATTCGATAGCTTAAAAATATATATTACTATTTTTATTAATAATTGGGATAGTTATTAAAAAAGCAATTAGAAATGTTTAGAATTATTTTTTATTGTATCTTCTGGGAAAACACGATTAATAAACTAATGAAAGTATCTATACGTCCATTTAGAAGATCCTCGGATTTCAACCGAGTCATTGTGAATTTTGACTACCCATCAACTTCTAAAGGCAATAGAAATCTTAATTTGCTGTCCTGCTCAACCATATTAAATTACCGGTATTTCCTGTATGTTCCATTGAAATAACTTACACGGATAAATATTATATTTCTTTTTATTAATATCTTTCTAAGATTATTATTAACATTGTTCTCCTTCCAAATATTTAAACACCTATATTTATAAAATGTATAAATAGTTAACATTATCAAAAAATTATGAAATTATAGTTTTTTACACACTTTTAATTATTAATTAAAATTTATTTAAAATACGTAAATTTTACTTTTTTTACTTTTAATTTAATTTTTTTGTATTTTTATAATTTTTAATTCTTATTTAACACTGTTGTATTGCCATGGCAGTGAAAACAAAAATGGAGTTTGGGGACCACGTCTGACAGTAACATGTCAAAATCAGAGACTCAAGTTTTCACGCAAACGGTAGAGGGTAGAGGTGAAATTTAGGCACGACATGGCAAAACGACAAGTCAAGCCTCTCACAGACACTCACTGCACTCTCACTCACAACTTTCATAAATGGACCTGTTTGGTAACATATTTCTAACTCATTCACAGTTCTCACAGCTTTAGCTTTAGCAATAGAATTGCTCATTCTGTGTTTCATTAAGAAACGTAAAAGAAAACAAATGGCACTTAAGCTCTATGGTCTTGCCATGTCCACAAATACCACCCGTGCCATGATCTGTCTTCATGAGAAAGAGGTTGATTTTGAACTTATTCCAGTTAATGTGTTCACTGCAGAGCATAAGCAACCTCCTTTTCTCTCCAAGAACGTAAGCACTTCTACTTTTATTGCTTGCTCCATCTTTACACTCTCATCTTCGTAAGTTTTTTCACAACCAACTTTTCTTTCTCTTTTTTAACTTTTTTGATACATCAGCCCTTTGGTTTGGTTCCAGTACTTGAAGATGGTGATCTCACTCTCTTTGGTATGCTTCCGTTCTTCTTTTCATCAATTTTTTTCACTCTGCATGACCCCTTTTATTGACTAAACATATATACTCCAGCTAGATGCATACAAGTTTTCAGATTTATCAAGCAATGCATGTTCAACAAATTGTATGGCTATACACTTAACAACTTTTTGAATCTTTTTATGATATATATCTTTGTGTGGCTTTGCATGACAAGAGTCTAGAGCCATTACAGCATATGTAGCTGAAAAATTCAAGGAAGCAGGACCTGATCTGATTAGGCACAAGGAACCCAAAGAAGCCGCACTGGTGAAGGTGTGGACTGAGGTAGAGTCTCATCACTATGAGTCAGCTGTGTCACCCATCATCTATGAATACTTTGTGGCTCCTTTTGAAGGCAAAGAACCCAACAAGTCAGTGATTGACACAAACGTTGAGAAGCTGAAGAATGTGCTTGATGTGTACGAAGCAAAGCTGAGCAGCACCAAGTACCTTGCTGGTGACTTTTATAGCCTTGCTGATCTTAGCCATATCTCAGAAACTCACTATTTTATGCAGACCCCTTTGGCTTCAATGATCAATGAACGTCCCAGTGTGAAGGCTTGGTGGGAGGATATCTCTTCTAGGCCTGCTTTCAACAAGGTTGTGGGAGCCATGACTTTTGGTCAGAGTCAGAAGTGAGAGTTTAATTTGTGTTTTGTGAGGTTTAGTTCACTTTATTGTAGTATCTAGCCAGTGGCTACTATAATCGTGGTTTTGGGTGTTGAAACTTGGTAAGCTTCGAATTACTAGAGTATGGAACATGAAATCGATTTTTAATTTTCTCTTGCGTGCAAATTAATTAACATTTTCCTAGTTAAACTGCAATTTATTTAGTTGGTGCTGGATACATACTTTGAATCTGGCCTCAACTTCATGATAAAACAACAAAAATCAACTCAAAATGTCCTCTAATCAAAAGTTTGAATTAAATTTGGACTTGAAAAAAAAAATTCAAAACATATAAAGTGTAACCTTTTGCATTTTTTGTAGGCTCAACCTGATGCTCAGGCTAACAATATTTAGATTTAATTTAAATTTAAAATGTAAAACTTTAACCTTTTGTCAAGCGAGTTCAAACTTTCTCAGTTAGAGAAGCTTATTTTGCTGACTTTTAACAATAGTGACACTGGTGGCACCCATATAATGAGTATGAGTGGGCAAACTGAGAGAAAAACACAAGAATAAAAAATGGAGATCTGCCATATGACCTTACAGAGACAAAAACGCTCTTGCAGTAGACAACTAGACAAGACTATTAACGCTCAGTTTAGGAGCAATATGCACTCCAAATTAGCCAATGAGTAAATTGACTATAATATTAGTGTTTTAATTACTCTGCTCTTTTATTTAGAGCACTCTCTTAGTAACACGTGAAAAATATGTTAACATATATGTGTTACCGGCCTCAATTTTTCTTATTATCAAACGTCAATCGACTACAAATTTTGCTTGTTAAGTTACTCTTACAAATTCAACTAATGACTGTAACATTTGCCTAATTTTGGTAAATTTTAGAGAAGCTTTTTTAAGTTAGGAAAAATTAAGATAAAAAAGAAGCTGATGGTTCTTTAATAAGTTAAAATAACTTATTTCATCAAAATTAAACATTAAAAAAGAATCATTTTAAAATTACAACAGTGAAGAATCATTTAGACTAAAAAAAGTTATCTTTAATCACAACCAGGATAATGATTCCATGCCAGTATAACTTAAAAAATGCTCAATAGTGCTCAATTTAAATAAATTTATATAAAAATTATTCAATTCTATTTCGTTTAAAATATTTTTTAAAAAATAATATAAACTTAAAGTTAAAACATATTCGTGACTATCCGTTTACATATAAATGTTAGCAAATAAGTACACATATACTTCGTAAAGTACTGATAAATTTAGATATTTCAAAAAAATATTAACAATTAATCAAAATTATTAACACATAATTATACAATTTAATAATTTTTTATAAAATATAAAATTCATCGATCAAACAATGAATCTTCTTATATTAATTTTTAATTATATATATTAAATTTTATATAATTGAAATATTTATAAAAAAAAAAATTCATACTAGTATAAGTTTAAAAACTCTTATACTTAATCTGAATCTTTCATTTAATTTTAGTAAATATTTTTATATATTTTATTTTATTTTTATATAAAATTTGATCTATTTAATAAAAACTTTCAAACTAACTAAATGAATTGACATAGTGATAAGAACTTTAATAAGAGGGCAACACAAATACCTATACAAGGGAAGAGAAATTTCAAGTCTCAAGTGTATTACATATTCCTTACTTCACAAGTATAAATATGTCTTAAGCTTTTTCTTTCCGAATTGTTTCCTTACATGAAACCCATCAATTCACTTGAATTATCATATCACACCAGAATAATATATATTAACGTAAAAATATATATTAACTAAATATTTAAATAAATAAATAGCCTAATATAATTAGTCGCAAAATAGGCACCAATAATGCAGAATGTTGAGGGGACCGATATTCCAATAATCGTCTTTATACGAAGGTTCATACGTCCCATTGGCTGGTTGCTTCATTTTCATTAAGAACACTTAAAATTGATTTTTAAATGTTAAAACCCCAAAAAAGAACAATAAGAAGAAAACAAAAAAAACAAGAGCGGTCAATAAATCAAAATATGGTACTTACTAAAAAAAAGGGTACTTGTCCCCGATTTACTTATTTTCAGGTTCCAAAGCTTTAATTAGTTATAATTAAGCATCCACATCGTGTGTTCTTCTTTCTTAGTCAAAATTTATACTAAAATTATGGATCAAATGAGAAAAATAGTGTTCCCATGTGCATTCCCACTATCAACACATTCTAGTAAAGTAACTGCATGCCAACGTTATATACTAATCACAAGCCTCACTTTAGGGACTCAGAACCATCCTTTCTATTGTCACTTCATACCATAATTTTCAGATCTGCTCAAACTCAATCATGGCAACAATTAAAGTTCATGGAACCCCCCTTTCACCAGCCGTCATGCGAGTTACTGCTACCCTCTATGAGAAGGAACTGGAATTCGAGTTTGTTCACATTGACATGAAAAATGGTGAACACAAAAAGGAACCCTTCATTTCTCTTAATGTAAGCATTACAACAAAACATTTCCATCATGATGCTCCTTACTTTATCAAGTTTAATTTTCCTTCTTGTCCCAACCATACTTTAATTTTCTTAGCTAACTTTCAATTTTTTATTTTTTATTTTTTATTTTTTAAATTTAACTCAGCCATTTGGTAAAGTTCCAGCTTTTGAAGATGGGGATCTGAAGCTGTTTGGTAAGTCATATTAGGATGGCCAACTCGCATGCATTATTCAATGGTAGTGAGATAACTATGGTTAAGTTTGTATTTTAAGGATAATTTAAATAACAATTTGAAATGCAGAATCGAGGGCAATCAGTCAATATATTGCTCACGAGTATGCTGATAAGGGGACCGAATTGATAAGCAATGATTCCAAGAAGATGGCAATAATAAGGTTGTGGTTGGAAGTAGAGAGCCAAAACTTCGATCAACCAGCTTCAAAACTTTCGTGGGAGCTTCGATTTAAGCCTATGTTTGGGATTCCTACGGATCCAGCAGCTGTGGAAGAGAATGAGGGGAAATTAGGTACTGTTCTTGATGTCTATGAGAAAAGATTGTCCGAGTCCAAATACTTGGGTGGTGACTGCTTCTCTTTGGCGGATCTGCATCACATTCCTCCCATTCATTCGTTGATGAACACTGAAAGCAAGAAGCTGTTTGAATCACGACCCCACGTGAGTGCATGGGTGGCTGATATTACAGCAAGACCAGCTTGGTCTAAGGTCATTGCCATGATAAATAGTAACTAGGGAGGAGTCATTTCATGCTGGTGTTCTAGTGTTGTTTTAAAAGTTCAAAGATGGTCATTTAAGATGTTTTTATTACAGGAAGTTCATGAAATTTTCTGTTGCTTCCTTTCCCGTGTTCTTTTTTATGTTGTATGCAATGGAAATTGCTGTTCTTGTTATTTACTTGTTTAGTTTATAAAGTAATGTATTGTGTTAGATTTCCAGAATCTTTGTGCTACAACGGGTTCAAGTCCCAGGAAGATCTACCTGTATAAGAATGTGTCATCAAGGCAGAGGAATTCTAAACTTTAAAGTGACAATATATGTAAGGTAATAAAGTGAAAAGATATGTAAAGAGAAAAAACAAGCATATATTCATATTTAATTAAAAAACATTAATTATATATAACTAAATTTTCAATCGAAGACAAATAAAGACGCTCACTTTTTCACATCTAAGGTAGAGATATGTATTGGTTTGGGCTAGATATGTTGTCATGACAAGTCAAATCTAATGAGATGCAATTATGAATTCCATCACAAATTGTTCAAATATTTCTAATATAAGAGGGCGAGGAGATAGTTCCCTTTAAAAAATGATGGGCCTTTAATGAATTAGCCATACTTCATTTTAATATAGAAAGAAAAATACACAGTCATGGTCTTGAATTAAGCAGTAATGGTTGTCTAATTCCTCATCTGATCAAAAGACAGAGCAAAAAGTGTATATACTCAGTAAAGTTGCAGGTCCAGCAAGTAGTGGATCTTAGGCAGCTGAACTGAACCTATTGAGGAAAATGAACAGGAAATGGTTACTTCGAGGGTGAAAATGATAACTCAATTAATTGGAGGGTTTTTGAGACAAAAAGAGAATTTGCGCATCCGGGGAATCGAACCCCGGTCAGTACCGTGGGAGGGTACTATGATACCACTACACCAGATGCGCTGGATATCACAGAATTAATAAGAGAAAGACTATAACCAATGCTCCAAGTAATGTCAATAGAGAAAAGAAAAGAAGACAGTAGAAATGCTGGGCCACGGGCCTCGTTTAATGGCCCAAAATTTAAGCAAAATCACTTTGAAATTAACCATAAATGCTTTTTTCTTTTAGATAAACCCAAAAAACAAATGTAAGGTTCATACGAGTTTGAATCTATACCCAAAAGCGTCTCACTCTATCTTTTTAACAAAGCATATATTCACTCAATTTACTTTTTGCTTTTCCCCCAATTTCTTTACGCGTATGAGCAATAAGCTCTTTCAAATTTCCATTTTTCTGTGAATCAGATATTTTGTTTTTTGACATTTGGCAGCTCATATAAAGAAATTATGTGCTTTAGTTTTGATTCCAAATATCAGAAGGAGACATCCTCAAGTGTGTTCATTCCATTGACAAATGACAAGTTGATTTTACCTCTTACTTTAGTCCATCTTAGTTGGCATCCTCAAAACACAGTTTTCATGATGTTTACCTAAGGAATCAAATCTCATCTGAAATATACGAATTTCAGTTAAGTGAATATTTTTCTTTCCAAATAATTAATCATGATACTTGTGAACACATTCTACTTCAATAATTTTATATGCATCCTTAATTGCTCTGCAATTTTTGTATGTGTCAACATTGCTATTGTCTAAGCATGAAGGAAAATACATGTACCCTTTAGATCGCCAAAGGGTTGAGAGGAGAAACTCAGGTTGTGAACGAAATTTCTACATCAAAATAGCATATTTAGCTTACAAGTACATGACGCTGAAAATATGAAAATACGCCAGCAATAACATTCATGTAACCACAAAGTATAAAAATTCAATGATAGCATCATATACTGTTATTTCTGCATCATTTTTGTTATTCTATCTTTTTCATCTTTATTAACTAAATAGTATAAAAATATTTAATATTTTTGTGTATAACTGATGTTATCCTTTGTCATAAAATAAAATAAAAAATCCAAGGAATCTTGAGGGCCCAGCAAGCACTTCGGAGTCTGCTATCTTAGTTGGCATCCTAAGCCCACACAAATGCTTTTCCCACTTTGCCTTTTTCTTTTTGGCGAATCCAAAAGGCTTTTAATTTCTATATAAAGCCCCACTACCTTACCCTATAGTTCTAATATCTTACCTTTTGCACATTATTATTATTATTATTATTATTGTAGTGCGATACATAACAACACAAAGGCTAGGATGAAACCTCATGTCTCCGGTGAAGGCTCTCTAGCCAATGAATTCAGGAGATCAATTGGAGATAAGCTCCATCAGGTTGATGAGGCAACCATGGCGGCGGCGTCGGCGGCGATTTCTGCCGACGGCTCTAAGCAAGGTAGGATTTTGAAGTATAATCAAGCTGAGAGACGACGGAGGTGGAGCCACCGGGTGGAAGACCCCATCAGAACCTTGATGTTTTTGGGGTCTTTGAATCACACGTGATTAACAATGAGGCATTTAGACCTGGTCTTGTGTCGAAACTTCTCAAAGTTGGAGTGAAAATTGAATACTGCCAAAACCCATTCTAATATGTCAATACATGTTGCAGTGATGTAAAAATGTTATGGACCTTAATAACTAGAAGTATAGACCAAAAAAATGAAAAAAAAAACCTGTGTGCATTTCAGGGATCTATCTAGCCAGGATTTTAATTATTTTATTTTGCTTGATATTATATGTATCATGTGTAAATATCTATATATATGTGTACGTGTGTGTATGTAGTCTTAATAAATTTATATAGTTGCCTCTACTATTTAAAATTTTTCATTCCACTACTGTTGCATATGGCTGGATCTATGCATGCATGCATGCATGTACTCATTTAGGATCTGATATAATTTAATTATAATCTATTATGATTATAACACCTGAGACTGAACTCTACTCCTGCAGCTCCAGTATATATGTCTGGTTCAGTGCAGGTTTGATATCTAAGTAGAACATTAAGAGAATAAACATAGACCATCAATATAATAAACAACTGATGAATTGGTTGTACAGAACGATTTACAGATTTTTTTTTTATGATTTTATGGATAAAAATATTTATAAGGGACGGAATAAAATAAGCCCACATCATGATCTTTTATTTAATTTTTGCAGAGGTTGAATTAACTAATATGTTAAGTTAATTTTAACATAAACAATAAGTTATTTTACTTTTTAAATTTATTATATTATATATTTTTTATAAATAATTATTGAAAAAATTATCTAAAGTTCTAACTCAAATATTAATAAAATGAAAGCATTATTGTTTATCTGAATTTTCTGTCACATCAGACTAGGTGCTTTTAAATGGATAAGATGAGAAAGAATTTTCGTTCTAGGGTTATATGATTAAATATTAGATTCAAATCAACACCGATTCTACACTGCTACTATTGGAGATTATAATAAATTAGTAAGTTTTTTATTGTACAAATATTATTAAATTAAAAAATATTTTACAATTATTAATAAATTTTAAAAGCTTTGATAAATACTTTATTTATAAATAATTAATATTTTACTATATTAAATAAAAATCATTAAAAATATTTTTTTTAAATTATAAAATAAATTAAATATAAAATTCATATTAAGATTGTACTAAAAAATAATTAATTACTATATTAAAAATTATGTGACATATACAATAAAGGAGAAAACTAACATATAAAAATACTTTTTTTAAAATAATTATTAAAAATATTTTTGATTAAAAATTAGGACTCACAAATTATATATAAAGATGGTTATATTTTCTTAGTTAATTAGTTAATCTATACTTCTGTATGAGGTTCACTTATATATTTGATTTAATTATCTTTCAATTTTCTTTATCAATAATATGGAGTTGATTTTGAAAACTTATTTTTTTATTAAAATTAATAATGCCATATAATTTTTTTACTGCACCAAATCGAAGATCAACAAAGGCAAAAAAAGATCTTGATGGATCTTTGGATTCTGCCAAGATTGCAAAGTTTCACCACTCAACGAGCTTAGTGAATCAAATCATGCAATAATATAGCAATCAAGCATTCTCAACATGGATGAGAGTGTGAGTTTGAGCTTCGAATCCACATTTTACTTTTGTACATTTTGGCAATTCCTGGTTGGATTTAGATGAATCTCTTGCTTATTTAATTCTTCTACTAAATTATCTCCACAAATACTATGGATTCTTTGAGGTGAATTGATGAACTTTGGATCTCATTGTGCTATGATTGATAAAATTGTTGATAGCAGTTGAGCTTAAAGATTATGGAGCTGAGCTTCCTCAGTAAAAAACTAAAAGGATTTGATGCCATTGGGCTCAAATGTTGTTGGGCTCAAATAGCTTAGACTAGTTTCTTGGTACATATATCCAGCAACTTTTTATAAGGATATTTTTAGACTAATTTTCGTGTTCTATTTTCTGCCTGCACATATGTGTGCAAATTCCCTCAATTTGGTGAAGTCCATTTTTTAATATTTTTGCAATTTCTTAATTGTATAAGTTTTCAGCCCACAAACAAAGAGGAAGTTCTGAGTGAAATCGGGACTTCTCGAAAAACAATTTTAATGTAACTTATGTTTCAGAATTGTTAAATTCTATTTAGACTTTAACATACGTGTTTTTTTATTTTATTTGTTGAGTATTATACTATTTTTGTAATTTAATATATTTTTATTTGTAATTGAACATTTTTAATTAATGATCTTTTAACAAAAAAAATAGCATTAAAATATTTAGAATACTCATTTTATAAAGACGAAGGAATAAAAAAACTGAAAATTAATTTTAACTTGACAAGTTAAGACCTGCTCTTTGCATGTTTCATGACGTAATGATGAACACAAAGTCGCACATTTTAAAAAAATAATTAATTGTGAGTTAATTAAATTTATATTCTTTTATTTTTTTTATTTTATATATTATAGTTATTTTATATTTTGGAAATTTTCACTGTTTTATCATATGTTCCTAATAATTTTAATCAATATAATTTTTATTTTTGGGTTTTATTATTTTCAAAATCTATAATAATAAATTCTAATCTATTATATCAATAAGGAAAAATTATACTATCACTTTTTTTTTAATATTTATTTATTTATTTATAATTTTTAGTTTAAAAAATTATTGATCAATACTGTATTTATGTATTTTTTTTAGTTCCGCTTAGGTAATAATTAGTCTCTATTGTTAACTTCTATCAATTATATAAATGTTAAGTAGGTTAATAGAGTTTTAACTTAACACTACAACATGTTAAACATGCAACAAACTTTTATCCTAAACCCTAATTATAGTAATAATGTTGTTTCAAAACCGTAGTGATATCCACAATTTTAGTTGCTAATGGAGATAAATAAATATTATGAAACAGTGAGGATTAGTTTTACAACTTGCTAGATTCGATCAAACTAAATTTTCCTACTCTTTTACTATGCTTCCTTTTTTTCTTTTCTTCTAATGTGTTTGATTGAACTAGCTAGGTAGATGTTCTTATCCCCCCCCCCCTCCCCCCCCCTCTCCTTTTTTTTTTTTTTCTGTTGTCCTTCTTCGTATTTAACTCAAAAGAAGCGTTCGTTCTTAATGTCATCAACTCTCTAATTTTAGAGATATTTTAGATTGCATTTGATACTATAGGAATCTCCTATACTAATTAGAGTTGGTAAGCTTTAAAGTTTCATATTCTTAGGTAGCAAGAAAGCCTTGTGCTAAAGCTAAAATTGGGGCAATTTAATTATCTGGCTTTCTCACATATTATGAGTAATATATTTATTAATTATAATCTGGTTGTAAGGCACTTATCATCGTGACATAAACATACACACGATATATGTGTCTTAGAAACTACATGCTTGGAATGTGTGTTGCCATTTAAAGATGTTGTAATACTATGATTATTATCCAAAAAGTCCAACACATGTTAGATGGCAAACAAATAATGAGTATGTATATTATTTACTTAAGCCACTAATTCGAATACGATCACTTCGAAATATTACATGTTTGGAATCATAAAACTGTAGGAGTCATGCCAAGCCTTTAGTGCTTTAATTGTCAGTATTCACAACTTTGTAAAGAATGAGAAGACAAAAAGTTGTCCACAAAGCTTATGTTAACACAAAACTTAGATAAAGAATTTATAGTCTTTTTTATCCAATATATATTTATATATAACACTTATAATAGATACTGTTGGTTATCAACACAAAATGTTAATTTTAATTAAAAAAATAGCATCAGAAGTAATTGTAATACCACATATAAAGCATGTCATATATGTTTTATTTTTAAAATGTAAACCAATGGATCAAAAGTATAAAGGATAACAGTGGACGAGATTTTCCTGAAATCATAATACTAGTGAAGGATGCTGTAAAGATGATAATTAAGCAGTTGGCATTTTCAAGATAGCCAAACGAATTATAGTGGATCACATGTAATTCATATATAGATTCAAGTATTGCAACATGGTTTGTCGCGATGAACAAAAACATAAGCATACCACATGATCAGATTCCTTAACATCAAATTGTAATGCAACGACTGGCAGCAAATTAAATATGCTTATTTCACTTTACATATGATTTTTTCTTATGGAAGACCCCACCTAACAATTGTCTTAAATTGCAGTCAACAGTTGCAATTATGTCCACAACATCAAGGTTTTTATGATTTTCATATCTTCATCGTATAGTAGTTGTAATTGGGATCACATTATTCGCTTTTATTTGTAATTATATTAAAGATCGTGTAGTATATATAAGATATTCTTTTAAAATAATAAGTACCAATTAATTTAGCATTTAACATCATTAAAAAGTAAACCAATCCTTAATTTTGACAGCTAGATTCATTTTAGTTCTCAAATTTGGTACTAGTAATATAATAAAACTAAATTGACGCTAGTGCATAAAGTCGTAAACAAAGAGGATTGAAAGTTGTTAAAGTCAATAATCAAATTGACAGACCCTTAATGTTAAAAAATTTAATATGACCTACGGTTACTAATTTGAAAGATTAAATTTTAATATATTTTTATAATTTAAGGAATACTTTGATAGATTATTAAACTATTTATGAAATTATCAAAAGTACTTTACATCCTTCTTTTAATTATTCTTCCTATCGCTTTCTTGCCCCCATGAACTTTGGCTTTAATCATTTTCAAGAAGAACTTAAAAAAGTTTTTCCCCGCTGGAAAGTTGGCTAAAACGATGATATTATCAAGGTTCCGACGAAATAAGACTTGATCTTAATTGAAAATTTATATATATATATATATATATATATATATATATATATATATATATGTGGACTTTAGTCTGAAGAAATAAGGAGATGTTCCGGTTGAAACCATAATAAACTTGATCAAGTACCCAACAAATTAGTATCCTTTATAGCCAGCGCATATCATATCAAATCATTTGGGTGTTAGATGCAATGCTCCTACTCCTAGTTCACCATTCGCTATATCATATAAGAATGCCTTACCAAACTCAACTTGTTGTGTTCTTCTTTGCCCTTATTTTCTGTTATTTTGGCAACTCAAATAGTACGGAAAGTGGTGTCACACATTGCATAGCACTTTAAGTGGTCGGGGGAAGACCAAGAGTGAAGAGTGTGTGTGAGTGGGAAGATTTTAAGAGCACAACTAATATCCAACAATGCCACAAAAGCTGAGTGAAAGTTATGGCCCATTCTCGTAAATTCTATAACGTTTGGTGGTGGTGTTCTGAGCGTGCTCTTCTCCCCCCCTCCCCCCAAAAAAAAAAAGTTATCTTACAGTATATGAAATGCCTCATTAGTGTACTGTCTCTAGTGGTACTTCTGGTACTTGTGATTGTGTCTCGTATTGGATCCATGGTCTAAGAAACAATTAGCATGAATCATTAGACTTGTAATTTCAACAAAAGGTTGAATTAATTAAAAGATATTGCTAGCTGGTGTCCTTAAAGTATTGGTTAAAGAATCAATCATTAAAAGTCGTTTTTTTTGAAAAAAAATATGTTTGATTACATTGAAAATTTCATAAAAGAGTTCATGTTAACATTTGCCTTAATTGAAAGATATACAAGAAGCTTGACCCAAAAAAATAGATCATCTTTTAGTTTGCTCTCTAGCTAATCTCTTAATAAATTCACTTTTCAAGAATCAAGATTCTCTAAAACAATTTTTTTAAAAATTTATCAACCTTATATAGTTCATAGTATTAAGTATAAGCATCTAATAATAATACTTTTTTATTAAAAAAATATTTATTACATTAAAGATATAAAAGTGTAATATTTTTTCAAAAAATATTATTTTTGAATACTTAAACTGGGTTTTTTTTTTCTATAATAACGATGAATAAATGCTAAAGAGATAAAACCTAATTAACATTAAGCTCTTTCTCCTTCCGCATGTCATTCAGTTTGGGTTACTGTGATCTCTATTCCGTAAGCAACGCTCTTTTTGGAGCTTTCCCAATCCATCGTTTCTTTTGAAAATTTGCCATGCGCATGCTAGGCACGATTATTACAATATGATAAAGTGTATGACTGCACACATTTCAAAAGAGTGGGACACTTATGAAAGCTTGTGGATTTGCCAAAATTCAATGTCTCTATGGTTTTAACATTAATACCAATAAAGTATTGATGATAAAGTGATGTACATTAGCCACTACAGATTGGACTGCCTTCAAGAATGTGATAAGTAATATGTCGATCTAAAATCCACAGCAATCATTGATCATATGAAACGTTGGTGAAAGTTTGAATTTAAACCTAAAATTCTGCTGTGGCAGTGAGTGGTTTTATAAGCTTCTGTGGTTTTCTACATCAATAATGGTTGAAATTAAGACTCGTCTCTACTGTATCTAATCCTTGCGCCTTTTTCTTCTGTCCTTTTGCTGTTCTATAATAGGATCAGCTATATCACGAAAAATGTTGTTACAAAGTACTAATCTATTAAAGTATATTGATGCGTGAATACTGTATATATGGGTTTGATATGCATTAATTAAATTAATGTAAGTATCTCTCCTAATTTCGTTGTTACATACATATCGCATGCATGGCTTGTGTTACATACAAGTAGTTCTGTTTTTCTTCTTTACATTAGATGACTGATGTTCAAGTCTGAGAACTTTGTAAGTTTTTGGATGAAAGGAGAATAATCAGTGTGTGGTGTGTTAATTGGTGGCATATGTGTTTCCACAATACTAATTAATTAAAAGGAAATAATAATATTATATTAGTTGATTCTTTTCGTTTTAAAAAAATCAATTTAGGGGTTAATTCCTATTTGCTTTAAAGAAAGAGAAAAAAGAGAGAGATTTTAACGAAAGAGAAGGGTATTTTTAATCTCTCCTTATTTAATTTATAAAAGAAAAGTAATTTACTATCAAGCATTTAATATATATCATTTTTGTAAATAGCTTTGATATGTATTTGGTAGCTTCCTTTATTGAACTTCTAAAATAAACGTTGATATTGGAAAATTTATCATGCTTAGAAATGAGGAAGAGATGAGAATAAAAATGTCAGCATGGACTGACTTAATTCATGAGTTAGTCTCAATATAGAGAGTAAAAAAATGCTAGTTCAACTTAATTCAGTAATATGATTCACATGTTAATTCATCAAATTTAAAATAATAATAATATTAATAATTAAAATTTTATAAAAATATTTAAAAATATATCATATTTTTTTATATTTAGTAACTAATACCGCTAGTTACTAACTAATCTTCAAATTTTCAGACATTTTATATCATAAAAAAATATTTACTTTTTTAGAAAGAAAAAAATCAAGAGTTAATCTGTTTTAAACAGTGGGTAAAGTGAGTCAGATAAAAAAATCTATATAGCTTATGAATATATTTTTTATAATCTGACTCATTAAAAACTTTTAATAGGTTAGATTGACACAAAAATTCACTTTAATATCTGTAGAATGAGAAGTTGAAGAACTAGAAGATGCTTTGAGATGACAACCATGACAACTATATTATTGATAAGAAGGAAGTAAAGTATTGTGGAGATGGTTTGTTTGAGTGGATTTAATGCACCTAAGCTTCTTTAATACATACACATAATTTTCAATATCTAATTTGCATTAGATAGAAACTTTAAATCGAAAAAAACAAAATTAATACAAATAAAGTTTATATAAGCTTTTAATCGCTCATATATAATTTAAGTATTTGAATTTTGGTTATAGTCCATCTTAGATCATGAATATCTTAATGTTAACTATAGTAACTAATCTTTCATTAAAAATTAATGAAATTATTAGCTGTCTTAATATATTTATAGAGTGATGAAATCATTAATGCGCAGATACATCAAAGTTAACGACATGTGTCTATGTTATGCATATAGTACCCAATTCTCATGCTTTTAACTGAGGACAAGTGGAGATAACTTGCAAGTACATAGGAAATAATATTCTTGCGTACATCAAAAGTACATAACGTCGAGAGTATGAGATGGCTGTAAATACGTCAGCATACCCCCAACGTTTTGTGACACAAGCAGCTTGCTATCTTCAACCCCCAGTAAATATTTTTATTTTTTATTTTTTTATAAAAAATAAAAGACTAAATTATTAAAATTAAATAAAGTAATTAAGTCAGTTATATTTTTTATAAATATAAATTTTATTTTAAAAATTTATGATATTAAATGGTGTAGTTAATAATTTGTATATTTAATAATATTAATAAAAGTAGGATATAAAAAATTTAATAATTAATGAATCCTAAATCTATAATTTGTTTCTTATAATAAAGACTAAGAAAATATTTTATTTAATTTCTTATAAAAAAAGACTGAAAGTAATATATTATATGATTTTTATATGATAATCTTTTTTATCTCTCACTTTTATATCAATTATTTTACTTTACACCCTTTTCTTATTTTTATAAAAACTTTTCTACAATTTTTTGTGTATGTCCCTAATACAATTAGTACTATCATCTGAAAAGGTTACCTTTGTCCATAATGACAATATAAGTGCTTAATCAGATTCAAGAGCTCAACGTATTCTTAAACCATATTAATGCTTACAGCCATATATATTATTTTTATGATAAATTCTCACAACATTTTTATAATTCATTTTAAATTTAAATGTTCTTTTAATTTTTACAAATATGACTACATTGAATTTTAATTGAAAATATATTATTTTTATTTTATAAATTTTACAAATATTTTTTAACTCTTTATAATGTGCTTATATCTAACTATGTCATGTTAGTAACTATTTTAAAGTAATAAATGATGTAACATATTTAAATATTTGTCACATTATCGGTAAATAATAATATAAACTATTTTTAAAAATTTTAAAATTTATAATATTAAAATCAACAAAAAAATCTCTTAAGACTAAAACTAATTTTGTAATTTATAGAAATTAAAATATTTTTCACATTTTTTTTATCTCTCCGTAACATCACTGATCTTTTTTCACATCTCTCTTTCATCTCACTCGTCATTGTAAAAGAAAAGTTATATAATGTTATAATAATTTTTCTAATGCTTTTGCATGGCCGAGACTACATGAATCAGATTGTCGGCAGGGCTCCTTTGTTCCTATTACAGCATTTTGCTCTCTGATGCATAACTGTCACGTTGAACTCTTATCTTTAGGTTCCTGAGATGTTCCATTCAACCAAAGGGATATAAAAGGAGAAGAAGACCCCTTTTACTTTTATTCGTCGACTAAATTATCCAAACCCTCCTTTCTTTTCCCCCTCTAACTCCATAATCCTAGAGTTCATCATTTTAGCTTTTACACTTGATTTGATCATATAACTTCTCATATTCAAGAATATCAGGCTAAAAAGAGTTTCTGCTTTTGCTTACAGAAAAGATGATGATGAGTACAAATTATTCGATCAAAGCCAAACTCAATCTTTTGCCACCAACTTAAGGATGAGGCAATTATATAAATATATATAATTACAAGTAGAAAAATAATACACTCTTCTTACTACACTCTTTATTATTAATTAGTCAAAATTTATTAAAAATTATAAATAAAGTTGAATAAAACTAGGCAATTTTACAAGTTTTAATAAATTTTAATTAATAATAAAGAGTGCATTAAAGAATATATTATGAAAGTTTATGATGATAATAACAGAACCAGATTTAAAAGTGAAGAAGGAAGAGTCTCAACACATCTTAGGGCCCCATTTGGGATCTCTAGGACTGAAGAAGGAGGCAGTAACTTTAGACTTGAGTAACTTGAGTGCTTTCTTAGACTTAATGCACCTTGGTGTTTTGTACTGATTGATGGAAGCTCCTTGGCTAATAAACAAGTCCATCAAAGCATCAAATGTTCCTGGCTCCACCACACGTATCTCAAGTGGCCCTACCGATTTGTCATTGCTACGGCATCGTCTATATACGTAGTCCAATTGCTCTTCCACTGCAATGCAACATTCTTCAAGTACATTTCCATCAAGTGGGGTCTCTGACTCTCCCTTTGTGCCGCATTGCAGAATTTCCCAGTACAATACGTAGTGTCCTGGTAGTGAAGAAGTATCGGGGTAACTCGTGTACTCCACTAAGAGAGCATCATATGGTTCTAACAATTTTTTTGCCATAGTCACGCTCCTGTGCAAATCCTCTTCGTTCGTCTTTTCAGTGTCGATGCTGATCACAACGTTTCTCCTGCAGATGAATCGAAATTGTGGGGCGTTGTTGTAAAATTCAACCACTTGAAGCACATCGCCAATGCGGTATCTATACAGCCCTGAACATTGGGATGATAGTATTGTGAAGAAAAAATAAAAACAAACTGCATTAGTATGTGGATATAATGATAATATCAAATGGGTTGTGTTGTTTCAACTTCTGAAGTACATAACCCTTTATGTACTTCTAGAAAATGGTCTGATACTCACGACAAGGATACTTTATCGTTTTGACGTGTAAATAATATATGTTATCGAATTCACTTCGATACATAGGAGGAGTGTTAGAAAATTCTTAATTAAAATTTTAATTAATAACAAAAAATTAAAAATAGTGTGTTATTAATATTTCATATTTATATTATTAAATACTTTTACATAGAGAGAGAGAGAGAGAGAGAGAGAGAGAGAATTGAATTAAGTGAAAAACAAATTACAATTTCAATTCAGAAATGAAAATAGTAAATATTGGTAATTATATTTTACATAAACAATTAAAATAACAAGTCTGATTTTTATAGTAATTTTTAATTTTCATTATTTATTTATAAAATTAAAAATATGTTTATCCTTTTCAGTCTCTCAAATAATAATAATTATCATCTCACTTATACATAACCACATCTGTATGTGTAGAAATATATTACGAGAGAATAACTGAAACAGTCAAATATTTTATAATATAACTGTACATAAATATTTTAAATTAATTCAAATAAATTCAAATTAAATTATTCATGTATAATTTTATCATAAATCAATTATTCTCATTTCGGAAAATCTTAATTAGGATACCCTTTAAATGTATAACACTTGGTCGGTCGTTTTAATTCCAATTAGTTCACCAGCACAGTCAGTACATGTTTTATAATATATCGTATTCGTACACCATTTGAAAAAGTTAGGCTTCTCAAGTAACTGTTTGTGTTAGTTAAACTTCTTTAACGATTTAGCAATAGTTGATGATATCATAAAGAAAAATGAATTTTTTAATATATGGTGTCCACAATTACATTGACGGTTATTTTTTAGAAAAAAAGGTTTCGAAATTCAGAAAACTCACCAGCAAAGGTAGTGATGACCAGCTCATAAAAGCAACCAAGCTTGACATGCACCAAATCCACGAGCTTATCATTGGGAACTTGTTCCTCTTCATCAAAGTCCATCAACAGAGTCCCATTATGTCCAAGAGGAAGGAACTCAAAGTAACCCATGTTAGGCAAGAGGGTAAAAGCCACATCCGAAGGATCACACAAAGGTTTCAAGTTAATACCAAAGTAACACTCCGAGGAAGCATACATAGTACAAACCAGAGGCAATTTCCCATCACTATAATGCTTAAGAGCAGGAACATACTGAGCCATAGACCCAGTCACCACAGCTTCTATATACTTAGCCTTAGGCCAAAGCTGACACAAAATTCCCTTCCAAGATTTTTGGCTACAAATTTTGGTGATTTCATCAGCAAGACGTGGGTCAGGTAATGAAAGCACTGTGGACATGCATGAGCGGCATCCAGGGTCAGTTATGAAGGAACTTAGTTGACCATTGCGTATGTCATCACATAGGTGCCTCCAATTACGTTCAAGGAATGAAATGGCTCGAAGAAGTGCTGAGGCAAAGACAGCACCGAGCCTTAGGACTTGGCGGCGATGAACCAAACCTGCTAGTAGCTGGCAATGCATGCTTTGGTTGCTGTCATTGCATAGAATGCTTTGGTCTGGGCTTGTGAAATCGTTCCACGGGTCACGTGTGCGGCACTTGAAGTGCTTGCTTTTGTAGTAGCTTGTTAACACTGTCCTTGCAGGTAAGCCACAAGGTGTTGACATTTCTGCTTTTACAAAGTAGAGGAACATTGCCTTCCCCTCGTCGAGATCAGAAACGTACCTATATATAATCAATGTTCATGTTGGAGATCAAGTGTATATTGGGAAAAGGGGTTACATTGATAAAATAAATACTTAGCATGCTTCAGCTTTTATATGATAATTGCTCATCTAAGTAATGGTGTCTATTACCTTATGCTATCTAATGTGAGAAATTGTATTTCTACAACTACAACGAAAAATAGATAAAAAGAAAATAAATTAAGAAAAGTGTGAAATAAGATTTTTGTGTAACGCAAAGAGATTTAAAAAATTATATTATAAAAGTGCCAACTTTTCATATCTTATTTGTATTAATTACTTTTTCTTCCACATTTCATTTTTCTTCTTTTATCATATTATTAATCACACTTTCTTTTTCTATATTGTTCTCTTTCTTCCTCAATCCATCTCATATCCCTACAATAGATGTGATTATTATAAAAATTATCAAACAAAAGTATTGTACAAATAAGTTAACTTATCTAATGTTATACAAGGTACAAGCTAGTACCGATATAACTATAGTAAATTAGATATGCTTTGGTGTTTCTGATTTTGGCATGGTAGATGGTAACTTGGTAAGGTTAATGCGGTTGAATATATGCATAAATGCATTACATGTCAAGATGCACTATGATCCTTTTTGTCCTATCGCACAAATATAAGGAGCAAAGAATCATCCTTTTTTTTTTTATAAAATATAAACGTAATCGATGCATGGTAATGGGCCCTCCACCCGCCTACTCTTAATAATAATTGTCACGTCATATCTTTTTCATCCTATCCTTCTCATTTGGCCATATACTTAGAATGGAGAATCATTAACTCAAGCGGGATAACATTAAACACAAAAAATCAAGTTGCTAAGTAGGAAAATTACGCAGGTCTAAGCTTCAACCATGTTGGAGTTTTAAAAAACCGATGACCATTGAAATATTAATTCAAATGCAATCAAAGGGTATGACTAACAGGTGTATACATGCAAAATCAAGGCCAAGAAATAAAAAGATGTGAGGATGTTACTATTCTTATTAACTGATTTATGATTGGCATGATAAGATTGTACACAAAGGTACGGCGTTCAAGATCTTCAGCAATTGATGGCATCATTTTAGGCTCTCCACATGATGTCCCTGAACTGCACATACCATAAAGTATGATTATGATTGTTGACATATAAAACACAACCAGAAAAGAAACTTGTAAAGAAATAGATGAGCAAAAATACAAGCAATAGCAGAAGTTACCTGCATAACATTTCTGTTATTGGGTGACCAGTGATGAGAGACGAGTCTTCCCCATTTACTATTCTCTGAATATATGGGAAGATTCCTTCATAGGTGATGACTGGAACACACCTCTTAAACTCTGCTATGTCTGTTATATTTATGTCTCCCTTCATATACTTATTCAAATACTCAGTTTCCCTATTCTGAGTTAAGATCTGTTTCAAAAGGCTTTCTTGAACTTCAGAAGCTTTCATTGTCAGCCTCTCTATCTCTTTCAGTGCTTCCTTACCTTTGTACTCCAATTTCTTTCCGTCCATGGCTACAGAAATGAACAGAACTACAAAAGAGTCAGTTGTAGCAGAACTCACAAGAGTACTGAGTATAACACTTATTGTTCACTTGGTTTGAAATGCATTTAGTGTGTTTATATATAGATAAGTATATGTATATTGTTGCCTAAAGTTGGTTTGGTGCTTGTAATGTTATTTTTCAATAAAAACATAATGTGTGTATTATTTTTTAGTCGCTTTATCCTTCATTTTGATGGTCCCAAATTTTAGGTATAAAAAATTATACACGTATTATTTTTTTATTAGAGAGTACCATACCATATGTACCTTAAAAACTTTATTCAAGTTTTGTCCTATTAGTGATATGGCCAGATACAACTCCTCTCAAAAAATCTTCTCTTTTCGTTTTCTCTTTTTTCATTTTATCTTTTCCCCTCTTGTCACTACGTCAGTGCAACCAGATTGGAAACAATTAACGCTGATGCCATTTATGATGTGGTCCCCCATAAAACATTTACTTGATTTCAGAATTGGGGTTCTACAAAAATAAATTTTTTGAGTACATTCACTGAAAACAATTTAACTTCATGAAAAATGATGCATTAATAGACAAAAATAACTTAACAAAACTTAACTGTGCCAATTAGCAATGAAAATTAGGCAAAGTGCTCATGATGTGAAAATTTTATGGTTTAATTATTATGATACCCCCAGTAATCACTCGTTTCCATTGCTATTTGAATTTTGAAAATTTCTAGGACATGGTGCTGTTGTCCCCAAGGATGTTCCATATTAGTCAAATTAGATTAAACAACTGATCTGGTTCAACATAATAATTTGATTGCCACAGTACATATCATTCCTAACACCCACAATTATGTCAGGGACTTGTAATTTTGCATCATTTGAATGAAGGACAAATACAGTGCAAAGTATAAGATAAAGCACAACATATATAGTAGTATTCTTATTTCTGAATAATCTAATGGACAAGGATGTGAGGTTCGATTTTATAGCGCTGATACTGGATTGGTGGTTAAACAAGGAAGTTATTATGTCTATTCTTCAGATTCGGCAGCAGGGTAACATCAGATATCACCGAAGATGGTGGGATATATGTAAACAAGTATCTGGTTCTAGTTCATGACTGGACATGTATATATTCTTCTATGCACTTTTAAAATACGATATATTCGTATACCCTCACTCTTTCAAACTGAATGAAGGTGGTCTAATAGAAAGTGAAGCCATTAAGTCATTTCTTTTCTATAACTAAGCCTCTATTTAACTTGATGCTTGTCCTAAAAATATCAATGAAGAAAATAAGTTTCAAGCATCAAAAGATCATTCATAGCGTCCATTAATTTTTATTTTTTTGTTAAAGTTATTCTTGATATCTTACAAAGAATAGAATGAACTGTTGGATATGTTAGGACTGGATTAAACATCACAATGAAATGTAGAGCCAAACCTAGCTATATCCTTATCCACAAGGAGAACAACTAGTGTCACTGTCCAAGTATGTGATCAAGGAAAAGTACCTTAAGGCTCATTGCACACGTCATATCGGTGCCTTTACTCATTTGTGTTTTATGAATGTATAGGTGTTGTGCTTGTTATCCACATGAAAATTCTAGCTAGACAATAATGGTAAGGTCGTAAATTTTCTTTCCTATTTCTAGGAAATGTTGATGGTGCAAGGGAAAGTTATGGTTTTAACAGTCTGTTTTGCATGACTAGGTGAGCACATAGCTTAACATCACTCGAGATTTGTGTGTCCTCATAGAAATATTCTATTTGACACTGTTTGAATACAAAATGAAAACAATCCGTAACCTGATGAGTGGGTTAGCATTCTTGTCCACAACTAGCTTAGTGGATGTAACCTTTAAGACAGTGTGATGGAAAGGAAACATGTGCCAAATGAGGAGTATGGCCATCTTTAAAGAGAAAAGTAGGCATGTGACGTATACCATTACTTATGTGATACCTATATATATGCTTACTCTTTGCTCTATCATGGATTGTCTGATATTGTTGGTAAAACATGCATTGCTCTTTAACATGTATCAACTCAACTTTCTTGGCATATGTGGCCTTAGTGGAGTTCATTATTTGTGTGAAGTCCTGTGAAAATACGTCTCTAGCCTTCACCAATAAATGCGGCGAATGAAGACTGTCACATTCATACAACTTTGTATATATGGAGCCTTCTACTGTGTGCGCCACGATGGAGCTACAAATTTATAGGGAGGGGACCAAACCTACCATATATATTCAAAGTATTAAATCTTAATTATATAATTAGTTATAAATGATTATAAGTAAACTTAGTTAATTAAAAGGATCGGAGGCAAAGTCTTTATAGAGCATTTACTTTGTGGGTAGTCCAACTCGTTTAGTGTTAGTATATATATATATATATATATACCCAATCGGCCAATCCTAGGTATTATGATAAAATATAAAATTTTTCGATTGATCATCTACCACACTCAATACAATGTTGCATGAATTCAAGTACAATATCAGTATTTAAAATGGATAGTTGGACCCAAGTACGAAACATATACGATAATTTTAAAAACTAAAAATATGAATATATGCTAATATAAATGAATAATATAAAAAATATATATTTGGAAATAGAGAAATAAACATAAAAATTGAAAAGGAAAAAAAGAAAAAAATTATTAAACTTACCTAAAAATAACTGTCATATTTTAGAAAAAAAATTGAGCTAGTATTTAAGGATATCTAATTACATACTAAGTCGCACCTAATTTTATTAAAATTATATCGGTAGGCATTACATACTAAACACGCGTACGTTTGTTGTCGAACGAAAACCGCATGGTCCAGATTATTGACTTCAAACTAAAAATGTTATTTTGTGTTATAGATGTGTATTTTAATGTGTATATTAAAGTAATAAATAAATAAAATTATATATAATATCATGATAATATTATTTTTTAGTGATTAAAATAAAGATAGTACTTGAGTATCCGATATGTTACCGGCATTAAATACGTATCCAGCACGCCAATAGGAGACATTTTAAAGTAATCTTGCCTAATTAACTCAACCAGTAAACTATACGGAACTATAATTGTCTACACTTCAATGCATGAAGGTTATTGTATTTGTAATAGAATAATCTCAATCTCTTGCTTCTCTTAGATCAGTACTTAGATTGATTTCAAGACTATCCATTGATGGTAATATATAATTTCACTAAATTGTCGTTAAAATTAGTTATTTTCTTTTAACATGTATTTCTTAATCTAAATTTTTAATGCAACCAAACAAAACAATCCTAAAATGTTTCTATCTGTTAAAAAATTAAAATAAAACATTAAGTACATATGAAAGCTTGATAATTCGTTTGATTTCCTTTAATTGTAAGGTCTTAAATAATAAATTCATTTAATCGATTCAAATTATTTGAAGTTTTAAGCGATTTTTTTGAAAATATTAAATATGCACCCCAAAGAAAACATTATTTCTTCCCTTTGGTGATGACCCAACAGATAAACAAACATAGATATACACTGGTTTGAGAGGTCGAATGATTTGGCAATTGGATAATTTGCTTGAGATGTGAGAATCTTTCGAACAAAAAGCTTAGAAAGAATAGTAGTTCCATCAACTGTGTGTAAATTGGAGGCCTAGTTTTTATAGCAGTTTCGATCGTGTATGGAAAGAATATTATAGAAACAAATTTTAAAGTAATTTAAACTCTTTATAAAATATGAACCATGTTATTTATTTTGTTTTATGTTTTCTTTTCCTTTTTTTTTTCCCTTATATATATATCATAACCCTTGTAAATGCTTGCCGTAAGAATAACCTTCCTCATAAAATATCTGTCTGAGTACTGTGTTCGTATCCGCTTTATATTGCTCTTTGCCTCTTTCTTTTCTTTTTCTGTTTTCTTTTTCACCTCTTGAATATTGTCTTCTATGCCACTCACAAGTCACAAAAGAATAAATGTGTTTTGGTACCACTTGTAGTTTTAGCCATTGCTTTTTTTCTTCGGCCTTGAATAACAACGTCTTTTATGTCACTCACAAAAGCATATATAAATGTGTTCTCCGACCACTGATAGTTTTGAGTCATTTAAACGCATAATGTCATCAAATTGCAATCTAGAATCAAGATGCTTCTCCATTAAATCATATATTCTATTTGAATTGAAAAAATAAATTAAATCACATATTTTCCACAAAGAAAAGAAAAACACGATAGCAATTTCATTCTATTTAATTAAAACTTTTTAGTGCCACTTTTTATTTGTTTGCTTTGGTTTCTGTAAAAGCCTTTCCTAGTTTTTAAAACTATTCCTTTCATTAATTTTAAATTTTACTTTAAACCTTTTTTGGTTACAGCTTGAAACTTTTTTAAATTAAATATGATATACACTCAAAAAAGTAAATTATTTTTTTAGAGTCTTTTTGCAAGTTATTTGCAATACTTTATTCCTGTGTTCTAGTGTTTTACAATACACAGCGCTTCTTCTTCTTTTTTCAGTAATTCATAATCTGATTTAATTTATTTTAGTGTCATGTGCGAGTAACTATATTAAATAAAAAAATCAGTAATGTCCTTTCTTGTTTATCTTACTATGTAACAAGTAATAAATATGGATTACAAAATTTAAGATCTCTAACAAACTGAAAAATGAGTGTTTGATATTAAAATTACTGATTTAAAGAGATAGATTAAATCATGATTAACTCAGTTATATTACATAAGATTAATTATTAATGAATTAATTTTTTAAAATCAAAACTAATACAATCTTATTTAAAATTAAGAATGCCTTGAGAAGGGTTACAGCTTTAATTTCAATTACAAAAAGGATAAACAAAATTTATTGTGATACTTTAATAAGCAACTTTGTATTCTAAAAAAATTGAAAGATAAATTTCAAATAATTTTTTTAGTAATTTCGACAATTTATTTTTATTAATTTAAAAAGGTTCCATCCAAACCTTTCCGTTATTTAAAAATTAAATTTAGACTGACCCTTATGAAAATTTCCATTCTAGACACAGCTTTAAGTAAAGCAACTTCTGATTTCATCTAGCTATGTATTTGTGCAATTAAAATACCCTAAGTCTCTTAAGCAAATGATAATTGGTTGGTATGTGAAAATATATATTTTGTTTCAGCATGAAAGATTAGTCTTTGGTGAGAATGGCGTAGAAAGCAAAAAGAAAAATATTGTATTAGGGAGCACTCTACACTAAAGAATCATCAATGTTGTTATGATTGAGATTTGTTTGTGATATAGCGTAAAATAACTAATCGCTAGTTCGACGTTATATATACAACCAGTGATTATTTCAACACCGTTGCTCGACAACAGCTTGATCTAGCGTTATGCAAACAATTGCAATGATTAGCTTGGCACTGCTTAACAACAGCACCAAGTTGGGGGAGGGAGGCAACTGATTTGATGTCATTCTATCAGAAATCTCATCTCAAATCATACGCCACAGTAACCATACTCACCTCGGGTAAGATCACTCTAACTTAGACCAAAGACCTGTATCACTCAATGATGCGAATAAGTAGGCACTCCAGGACTCCCATTAGTCAATGTATATCATGCGTCTAACCCTCAATTATCAGAGTTTAGTCATCTAAAACATTAGTGAAAAACATTCAATCCCATCACGTAATCTCGTCACACAATATTAGCCCAACGACTAACAACAATATTATGATGAAAGCCTAAAACTCAAAGAAATCAACACATATATAAAGTGAACGGCACAAGGATCTCAAGTACATTACTCTCTCTAACTGACACCCCAAAATATCAACATCTAAAATTTTTTTAACTTGAACCCTTAGACTGTTTCTTGCATAAAAACTCCCTTCAACTCCATTATCGAATCATCCTAACTCACAACATTGATTAGCCACTGAAGGATAAATGCAACCAACACAAGATATTGCGTTTGGCTTGTACCCAACAATCTAGTGCTGAACAATTTGGATAGATAAATTTAACACAAGAATGAGATGAAACTTGTCAAAAGTTGTGTACAGCTCTACACCAGCAAATCCTCAGCCTCAACGAAATTCATGAACTCGAACAAGACTAGCTTCCTCTTTACAGAGCTTTTCTTTTACATCAACTTAAAAAGTTCAGGTTTTACTCTCTTCTTGCTGCTTCTCATACCCCAAAAGTTGTAATAGAAACAGCAAAATCTTGCAGCCTATGGACAAGTGTTGACTATATATGTTTTATACACATGCTTTGCGTATTTTGATGAGGAATAAAGCACGATAGCCTGTAAAATATTGTGATGATATATAATTGTCGGTAAAAGCACAGATTTTTACTTGAATTGATTCCTTTAGCAATATCATTTCTTAAAGATCAAGTCTCCCATGACAGGAGTGTTCAGTATTCTCTATAACTTCATGATTCTTCGAGTTAAAAATATTTTAACTCATCTTCAAACACTCCTTTTGATTTTTCCTTGGATCCCAATCCTAAATAAGAAGGCAAGACCTTACCTTGACCAAACACTAGAAGAGTCAAATCTTAATAGTGGATGCCCTTCACCTTGTGGTAGAGTCTCGTTATGACATATGCAAGCAGCGATTTTCTCAGCCATTGGAATGCATTTGAACTTGAATTTTTAGTGTGTATTTCAAAAGTCTAAATTCTCAAACCCGTAAAATTTCACATTAACAACGACCTAGGAGACAAGTTTTCTTAAGTTTATATCTAAACATTTACTTCAAACTTGTAAAAGAACATTTGAGAAGAGAATGAACTTCATACACAAATTCGCGCATTACTATACAGGGGCTGAAAGGTCAAAGAGAAGTACTTTGTTCGTAACGGACAGTACCACGGGGAATTGTAGGAGACAAGTTTAACAAGTACTCAGAAAACACTGGTTAGGGAATGAAAGTGGAAAAGAAACTATTAAAAAGTGTTATTAATGCACTTCCACTATGATTGCTATTGCACCCTAACATAATTTCAAATAAAAGTTATCGATTTATTAATTTCTTAGCTGATACTCACATAGCATTAATTAACAAACGATTTTACCACAATAGAAATTACCAACACCTTGCATCATACAGCACACATACGTGTCTTTAGCCTTAGCTTTCTTTCAAAAGTTTGAAAATAAGCAAGGCTGAAAAAATGCATGGTAATAAGGGGCAGGGATCAACAAAGTAATTGCAATATCAAATTTTAGGTGTATACTCAAACTGTAAAAAAACAATGAGATTTAGACAAATGATCAGTTGCACACATAGCTACAGAGCACATCTGTTTTCTGAACCACTACTGTAGACAAAGCTAGATGCACAATACCAATCCAGATGCAATGCAATACATGAACAATGAGCAATTGAAATCAGAATGCCACTTAAGCTGAACCGTCTTCTTTGGTCATCTCCTCTGTTGGCTTAGCAGGGGCCGCAGGTGATGGAGACAACTCCACTCCCATCTCTGCCCTCAGGTCGCTGAGGCTTTGTTCCAACTCATTTATACGGTTTCCCATATCATCAAGTGCATTGGTGTCAAGAAAAACATGTTTTGCACAGTTTTAGTACTTGGCAACTCTGCAATACCCATGTAATAAATTTGGAAACACTGTCCATCCTGCCTTAGCCAGTAACATAACATCACATATACACAACCATACATAAATAGCACTAAGCCATGAGTCACAAGTTGTGCACAACTGCATGGGAAGTTACATTGAGTTTACAAGAAAAGGGTCAAGATGCAGTTGTGCGCAACTGTAATTCATCACCAGTGCTATTGCATATTTCCAGGACTAACTACCCCTCCCAAAAGCTTAAGCTATTACATGAAGACACAGAGAATGGATACTAACAGTGTATATATGCCATCATGTGATTGGTTTGAGCATTGATGGGTATTGTGGAGTTGCCGGTGAATTACAAACATTCGTTTGTTGGTAAGTAGCAACAAAAACAATAAATGAAACAATGTAAACTAAAGCCAAAGTACAGCTTAAACATAATCAAACTTAGAAGGTTCCATTTAATTCCCCAACTAGATGTCCAAAGTGATTCCAAGCAAGATAGTTAAGTAAAAATATACGTTAACAAAATGTAAGTCAATTTAGATCTCCTATCATCCAACCAGACTAACCTCTTCTAATCAAAGCTTGCACTCTGGAGGGAGGAAAAAATCACAAGCACAAATTGCCACTGCCTAAAACTAATTTCCTTAAATTCCAGTCTTAAAGATTAGGTTATTTTAAGAACTTAAAAGACATAGCAAAAGGATATTCTTCGTTACAATAGAGTCGGACATTGTCTGGAACCTATTTTGCTGGAAACACAATTCTAGTTAGCAGCAGTGAAACATATTCTAGAAGGCAGAAATGCAACTCTAAGAATCTAGACAATACAACTCACCATCTGCTGAAGAAGATTTTGCACCTGAAAAGAGAAAAAACAGGATAGACAAGGTCAGAAACTTATTAAACTTAGTTAAATCATCATGAATCTAAAACCAAGTACACCAACTCGGAGTAGAAACGCAAAGTAGCCACATCGAAAATATTCGATAGCATTGAAGATCAAATTTAATAAATAGCAGAATTGACGTGAAAAAATTGTAGCAAGAGAACAAAAACCATTAGTTGATCCATGAAAACGATGAACAACTTACAAAGGCTGTCATATCAGCAGCGCTTTGCTTTGAGTCTTGTGAATCGTGCCCTTCCTGCAATGACGAAGGAAACCAATGAGTATAATGCGCAATGACTCTGCTCACTTAACAAAAGAATTTATCGATGAGAGATGCAAATTTCGGAAAACCCTAATCTCATAAATATGCAAACTCCGATTTGTGTATGGAAACACATTGTGTCGGATAAAGCAACAAAACGAAGAAGATAACCAGATTTAATGATAAGCGGGGAGGAAATCGACGAAAGAACCCTAACCATGAGATGATGATCAATGCAGCTGCAAATTGCTCTGCTTCACAGTTTCAATTCAAAATGAATTGAAATGCGAACGATACCCATTTAAATTTGATCGGAACCCATTTGTAATTACTAAAACGCCCTCCCAGATTTTGAGGTCCTTGACATTATTTATAACATTATTTAATATATATATATATATACAGACGTACGTATGTACGTGTGTTCTCAAAATACATTGCGAAATCTGGAGGCAGAACACATTTCTCTTTTTGCTGTTGAAACGGGTTTGAATCTGGATGGCGCCATTCTTCTAAAATATTAAATACCACATTTTTTTTATCCAATTTTAAAGCGATTGTGTTCTGCACAGCTTTTTTTTAAAGAGTATATGTGATTATTTTAATGTGTATATATACACAACAAAAGTTTATATATATATATATATATATATATATATATATTTAAAATTATAAATTTTAATAAAATTTCTTATTTCTATTTCTGTTATATATCCTTAAAAATATATTAAAAATAATAATATTATTTTTGTATTCTGAACCGATTATTCTTATTTGATTGCAATTCATATGTTTTTTGGTCAGTATTGCAATTCATGTACACTATATTTGAGTGAAAATGAAAAAAAAATATTATTTTTCATTTGGTTAAAAAAAAAATGTCAAAGATGAAAAGTTTAATTTTTTTTTACTCTTCTCGTTTCCTCTTCAATTAAAATTTCAACTTTCTTTTCCCTTTAAAACAAATAGAGGGATAGACTATATCTTGAAACTTTAGGCACACTGAATATCCAATCTCCAGAAATTTGATCCAATCATGCGCCATTATTTCTCCAAGTCCCCCACATGAAGAAATGCTCTAATGAAAATTATTATTAATATATGCATTCATGCATTTTTAGTGAATTTCACTAAAACAATGTAATGTAATATACATTTATTTAAAAAATTAGTCAAATTTCACTAAAAATTAGTCAAATTTTTAGTGAATGTAATATACATTCACTAAAAATTGTTTTTCTATTTAGAGCACGGATTTTTGTCGTCATTAGGTTCAAAGAATCTCTGTTATATAGTATATTCTCTCTCTCTCTCTCTCTATATATATATATATAGTGTAAAAAAAATTTAGTATGTAAAAAAATAAAAAATCCATATTCTCCTCCTATACTCACACTCCACCTATACCATGGCCAACCACTGCCTTGGGCCAACAAAAATATTACAGTGACCTTCCCTCCTCTTACGTGGACTAAATTTTCTACACTAACTCCCCCGGCCCATGGGCTCCTTCCATCTTCTTGATGAGTCTTAGAATAGATGCCCTTGTCAGACCAAAAAGTAATGTATAGATGCTCTTGGACAACAAAGGGATTCTCCTAACTCTCTATTCCTATATTAGGCTCACCTCACCTTCAGTCCATCGCGTCTGGTTCCGGGACAAAATATAAGGGCATGGTGTTGTACGTTTTGGTTTGTTTGGTGTCCAACCCGGCTTGGGCCCTTAACAAATCTTGGCATGGAATGCTTTTTTATTTCTTTATTGTAAATATTAAGCTCTTTGTTTTCTCAAAGTTAGACACATATCATGCATACATGGCAATCTTTAAATAATAACAATAATAATATTAAACAGTATTAGTCAGCGTAGACTTTAAATGCTTTGTAAACAATTAGTTGAGTATGTCTTAGACTTCCAGGGTGTATATCTATCTATAACATTTACAATTATAAATTTATTATTAGGAAATTTTTGACACGTGTTATGTTGTCATTAAGAAAAATCGATAATATAATTTTATATTTTGTCTGCTATTTATTACTTTTTTTAAAAAAATTAACGGTTACTTTTATTTGATTATTAAAAAAACTATTATACATTTCCACGACTGTACAACTCCTACCTCAGATTATGAAATATATAAATAGTAAATGGAGACTTTTATTATTTTTCTTTAATGTTCAAATAAACAATTTTATGACAATGAGGATAGTTGATATAGTATTAATATTTTTTTGTCTTACTGATTAATTTCTTAAAACACTAGTCAAATAATTACAAAATAAAAATTAATAATTGAATGTAGGCATTCGTTGGTTAGCATTTTTCATTTTACTTTTCATTACCCGCATAAGTGTAATCAATTGAGGAGACCATGTTTAAAACATACTTTTATTTATTGACGAGTGTCAATTACTGTTCTTATATAGTCATCAATCCTTCATTTTTCCGATTAATGTTTATAAATTCACATATTGTAAACTTTCTCTCCATCTCTCAATACACCAAAGGTTTCCAATATTTGAATAAGGACACCAATATAACTTAAGGAATTCTTCAACCTCTCTCTCTCTCTCTCTCTGTGTGTGTTCATTTAATTCCTCTTCAACTTCTTATTTGATTTCTTAAAAATCGATCTTCCCTTATTCTCGCATTCTCAATTCTATTCAAATATCCAATTTGAGAAGTTGGATTGCTGAAATTTATAGTTCTATTTTTTTAACATTGATAAAGATTAATGCTAGCGCCGATAACAAGTTTTTTTTTTTTAATAAAAGATATTTTATTTTAATTTTCTTATTTCTTTCTCTCCCTTTCCATCTTTAACGGAAAAATGGATATTCTTTTTGAAGATATGAAATTTTAATTTTGATTTTTGCAAAAAAAAAATTGGGTTGAATTGTCTTTTCATAAAAAGATGTTTTTAAATATTTTATCTTAAAATAAAAAACTATAAATATTATCGACATGTAAACTACTATTATTTAACTATTTTTAAAAAATATTTTTTTATCTTTTAAAACATATAACAAGATCTTTTATAGTTTATGCAAATTTAAAAAATTTAGATAACTTATATTTTAAAATACTATTATTTTGTTTGTTAATACAGTATACAATGTTAAAAATATTTTATTACTACTAATTCAAATTAAATTCAAACACAAATGAATTAACAAATTCATCAATTCAATTGGTTAGTTTCTGATACTTAATTTTTTTCGCTATTTTATTTATTTGTTTATTTTGTTCTATTAGTTCATTGATTTTAAGTCCAACACTAAATTACAACAACTATCCTAATCATCTGAATATATTATGTTGCATGTTAAATTAACCTTTAATTAGCAGCGACGAAACATATTCTAAAAGTCATAGATGCAACTCTAAGAATGTAGAGCATATAACTCACCACTTCCCGAAGAAGCCTGAAAAAAAGCGAAAAGCAAGATCGACAAAAGTCCGCAACTATTAGCAACGTAAAGTAGCGACAATGACACATCAAGGGAAATCAATTGCATCGACGATCAGAGTTAATATACAGTGGAATTGATGTCAAGAATTCCAGCAAGAAACAAAAAGCGTTAGTTGATTTACGAAAACGATGAGCTTACAGAGGCTTCCGTTTTAGCAAGGTCGGGATTCGGGTAGTCTGATGAATCGTGCCCCTCCTGCAATCACGAAGGAAGCAAATGAACGTAATGCGCAATAGCTCTGCTCACTCAACAAAAAGATTCATCGATGAACAATATCCCAAATGGAAAACCCTAATCTCATATCATAGTTAAGCAGACTCAGATTTGTGTGTTCACATTGCATTGGATAAAGACGCAAAGCGAAGAAGATAATCAAATTTATTTTAAAAAGTGGAAACAATCGACGAAAGAACCCTAACCATTAGGTGATGATCGATGTAGCAGCAAATTACTCGGTTCCACAGTTTGTATTCAAAACGAAATGAAGTGCGTGCGAATACAGATGGCCCACACTTAAATAGGACTTGACTCGGGGATAAAAAGATGTAATTACGAAAGTGTCCTTCCGGTTTTTGAAGTCTTTTTTTTTGGCTGTGTATTACACCCCATGCACATGCTTAATCATTGTATTGGCGTTGTGTAATTATATTTAATCAAAGTCTTCACATGTGTTAGATCCACGTAATTAAACATGACAATGATTGGACCTAATCCAAGACCTTGCATGATTGTGAGTCAGTGTGGGTTCCTTTTTTAACCTTTGATTAAGAGGGATGCATGTGACATTATTTTCTCCCAATATGCTTTAACTATTGATCAAATTTAAATTATAGTAATTATGCATATATGAACATTCAAATATAATGTTTTCAGTCTGGAGACAGGATGAGTAATGGATTGACCAAAACACATAGAAAAGGTGTGAATGAAAGTTGTCGGCCAAGTGCGATAACATTGGCCCAATTTTACGTGACGGCGATAGCTTCTCCTAAATTAGTGCTCTGCTCATACACTTCTCTTTTTGTTTTTTCGTTTTTCACTTAACAAGCACTTGGTTTTAACTTTTCTTTTTTTAATATCTGTATTATAAAATCGATTCATTGAAAAAATAATGGTAAATGCATCTTCGACATTTTTATAGGCAAAGCTTTGCTGACCAAGAAGAATAGTCAGTGACGGCAAATTTTGGAAAGATATGATGTTTTTGACAAAAGCATAGTCGGTAAGGAAATTTCCATGTTTTTATTTTTTGTTCAACACGAAGTTTCCATTCTTTAAGAACAATTTAAAGAATGTATTAAAAATTTATATCTAAATCTAATGGGTTATAAAAAATAAATTAGTGAGCAAGAATTTTCATGTATTAAATTAGTTTTAGATGAACTCTAAGAGGTATTTGCAAAAAAATAAATATTACGAATGTCTCTATTATATGACAATTTTTTATTCGCTATTTTACAACAATTTTAATATATTATTTTTAATACATTTTTTTAATTTTTATATTTCTATATTTTTAGATATCTAATTCTAAGTGAATTTGTAAAATATAAAATAAATATTTATTATTTTTTATTATGTAAGCTTTATTTATTTTTATTAAACATATACTTTACATGGAAATAATAAATATTAATAAATAATATAATGTTAAAATAAAAAATTTAAACATATATTATAAACTCGTAAAATCGTAAAGATACAAAATCTAATCTATGTACACTATTTTTTTTTTAAATATATCACTTTATTGTTTTATTTAATTTCATTAATCTTAGATTTTTACATTTTAAAAGGTCAAAAATACAAAAGATACTGCAAGTACACTTAGTAAAAAAAAATAAATCTGAAAACCTTATAAATAAGTAATTGAACGTGTTCTACGGACATATAATTGTGTCTAACACAGATATTACTGTGATTCTCTAGACCGAAGAAATTCTCACACAAAAATAAGGATAAGAGAATTACTCAAAATATTTATAAAAATTAATTTTCAACTATTAATCTTTTTATATAAACTTTACTTTGTAAAAAGAATTATTATTTGTATAAAGAAATAGTGTGTGAACTGCGTAGAGCGTGGTTTATTATTGCTAATAAGAAAATTTGTGGTTACTTAAATCTATAAAAATTCATACACAAATGAAATACCCATTGCAATCTTTATCAAACAGTAAAAATGTTGATATGATATGAGGAACTGGACATAGTCTTTAAATTTGTAAGTGAAACAGTATAATTTTTTAATATTATTATTCTTACTCTATATATCTAATATTTTACAAAATTTAGATTTATAAATATTATTAAAAAATATTCAATTTTTCGTTCTTTTATTTTCTTTCAATTTCATAATATATATTATTAATTTTTATTCACTATTAATGTTACATAGCATGTTTCTTAAAAAAAAAATAAATTTCTCTGTTACTGTCACATGGAATTTCTTTTATTTTTTAAGTATATATAATTATTAATGAAATTAATTAATTTATTACCCTTTTTATCCATAACTTTATAATTTTAGTATTATTAGATATTTTATATTCTCTACAAATATTTTTTCATTGAAATGTGACTTCTTTTTTTATTTCTTATAAATTATTGATTTAATAAATTATTTACCATATTTTTATTTTTATGGTTATTTTAATATTTATTAATAATTAAAACAATATAAACTATTTTTTAGCATTAAATAAAAATTAATATTTTTATTAAATGTATGTTTGACATAATAAGATAAAGTATTCAATATTGTTTATAGTATAATACAATATAAAATATTAAATAATTATTTATTCGTATATTAAGTACAAAATTTAGCTATAAATAAAAAAAGTTTCCATTTTATATAATATTATATGCAATAAAAAATAGATATAATTATTTTTTGTTAAAAAAAAATTTTAAGATATCTGAATACACTAATATTATTAAATATTTGGTTAATAAAAAATTATTAAATTTAATTTTTTATCCGTATAATTTTTTACAAATTAAAAAACTATATAAATAAAAGGCAAAGTATCAGCTAAAAAAGTTGTTGAAAATTGTGCAACGTGGAGCACCCGGATGAATTAAACTTGTATAAAGAAATTAAGAAAAGCTAATTTGAAAAAACAAAGTAGTCCTTTTTTTTATAAAAAAAAACAATCCTTTTTCCTTTGCATAGCAAGGATAAAAGTTTCTTCTTATCTAATGGGTAAAAGGATGTCATGGAGAGATAAGATCAGAATGAATCTTTGACTCAAAAACAAATAATAAAATAGTAAACAAAAATGATAATAATTTTAACCATGGTCAATAAGATTAAAAAGGCAAAAAATCCAACTAATAAAAATAAGATTAAGTTACACTTCCCTATTAGGAATATACTTACATTATATCAATTTTTATATTGTAATTTTTACATAACTTTCAATAATATTAATAGTTAATTTTGAAGTTTTAAAAGGAAAAAATCAGAAGTAATTGAAGTATTTTCTTACAATTTAACAACATGATAATATTTTAAAATATAAAATTCAGTGGTAAATTATAACAAAAACATGCATAAAAAAAAGCAGAGGATTGTGGCCATCAATAACGAGGACTTGCTGATTTTACTTTAAAAATTTTATATATTTTGAAAATATCGCACTAATAATAAATATACGAGGGGTTGAAGATTTAAAATTACTTGTTTGATAGGTTGCAATAAACTTCATTAAAAATTAGATTATCCGTTGACCGACTCTTCCTCGAACCGCCGCTCAGTCACTGCCTAGTTGGCTGCATGTCCCTTCCTTTCACACACACTCTGTCCAAAGTAAACTCTCTCTCTCTCTCTCTCTCTCTACTCACGTAAATATCCAAATTTCCATTTAATATAATCTGAGTTTCTAACGGAGGAGGCTTGTGTGCAAATTGCAATTCCAATTTGGCAAGTTGCACCGCACGCACACCTCCTAACTCCAAAGCCTCATTTTCCATTCCTACTCTACACTCCACCCTCTCTTTCTTCTCTGCGTGTTAATAAGCGGCAAAAGGAAAAAAAAAATAAAAATTAAAGTGATTATCATATAAATTAAATACCATATTAAATAATTTGTTATTCGTATTTTGTATTATTCATCCATTCTCTCCTCCTGGTATAAAATCAACAGCACAACATTTACATGATCTGACTCCTGAATCATCCTTGGTCTTTGCTTGTTTTCTCTTCTTTCTTTGCGCGCACATCCACCATGGTCGAAACCAGACGCAGCAGCTCCTCTTCTTCCAAGCGTTCTCTCTCTTCTCCTTCTCCACCTAACACCAAACGATCCAAGGTACCGTTTTTACTCCTTTTTCTTGCTACCCACCTCTCTTATTCGATGTGAATTTCCTTGTTCCTCATCTGGGGTATTCAAATTCAATCTCAAGATGGGTAGGTGTTGATCGATTTTTTGTGATGGCGTAGGTGTCGGAGGATTCCTCGTCCACTACGCTTCCCTCCGCGGGAATTATCTCTCCGGTCAACGAATCTGGACCCGGTAATGAATCTGGAGAACCGGAGCTACGACCTTCTGATCTGCCAGATACGGCTTCGTTGAAGGCTGTGGATGCTTGTGATGCGATGTCACCTGATAAATCTCTTTCTGTGCCCCTTGAAGGCGAGGCCTTGGAGTCCCCACAGTGTTTAGGTGTGAAAGTTGCAACCTTTTTCGTGTGTTTTTCGTCATTGTTGTGTGAGGTTGTTGTTTCTATGCATGCATGTGTTTTTTTTGGATTGGTAGGATTTATGAATTTGTGGAAGCCTCAGGTGAAACAGCGGAGAAATCCATGGTGGCTGGCGCGGTGGCGGCACCGTCTTCTGGTCGAGTGAAGAAACGCCCTACAAAATTTAGCCCCAAGACTGCGTGGGGGAAGCTCCTTTCTCAGTGTTCTCAGGTTTGGTTTTACTGTTATAGTTGAGTATTTGCATGCTTGCTGCTTGTCTTGGGGTGCTTATGTTTAGCATTCTGGGAATTGGATGCATTGTCAAATCTGATCCTTGGATTTTTTACTCTTCTCAAAAGTATAGTTAGTGACTTTGATGACGTGTGAGCCATTGTGTTGCATTTTTATAATTTAGAAAAGCTTTTAAATTGTGGTTGCTTTGCAATCAATGAAATCATGGAAAATCGCAGGTAAAAGTGGATGATGCAGATGCAATTGTGGTTGCATTCTTGCAGAGGCTTCCAAAATCTTAACATTGTGGCTGTGATTTTGAAATTATGATTCTAGTGAGCAAGGGTGTCCCAGTCAACGAGGCTCCCACCAAGTGGGGTCCAGGGAGGGTAGGTATATGCTGCCTTACCCTTGGAAGCAGAGAGGCTGATTCCAGGATTTGAATCCATGGCCTCCAGGGCACAAGCCTGAAACCTTTGCATCGTGCCAAGGCTTGCCTTTGAAATTATGATTCTAGTATTACAGATATATAATACTTTCTGCATACGGAAATTCTTCAACCTGACTAAATTTCCTAAAGCCTCGCATTGCATTCTACAGTGCAGGGTAAAAACAACCTGACATCATTGTTTATTACCAGTACACTGATATCCCACTTGTTAGAAAAACCAGGCTGATCTTCCTTGCTTTGTTGCATAACATGCATTGTTTTTTAGAAGTGGAAAAAGTGTAATTTCTCAGACACAGAAGAGTTTTTGCGTTTGAGAACAACAATATATTAAGCAAGGGATGGAGGCTTAATTCCTGAACTAGAGGGGAATTGTGGCATATTAAGCATGAGCTCAGGGGAGGTTGGTGTGAGCGACCTAAGTTATAAGATTGGAATGATAGGCCTTAGTTGTCCAGGTCCTTAACTCTTCAGGAGAATAATGAGAGAGGAGTCAATGAATTAGTTACTTCTGTTTGGAGCTTATTTGTAAAACTAACAAACCATATAGGAGAAACAAATTGGTGGGAACTGATTAACTAATATATTAGCTACCAAAGCAGTCTCAACATCCTCTTATTTTGGAGTTAAATGCTGCAACTTTGTTAAATTTGAATTTCATATTGTGCATTGCCAGTAAGATAAAATCTTATTTTATGCTCTATCACGTGTTGTAATCACTATCAGATTATAGGTTGCATAATCAATGATGCACAGCAGCAAGCATCATTTGGTGTTGCTTGGTGAAAAGAAAAATTATATTTGATTTTGCTAAAAGCATGATGTTTAGGATAATGTTCTATTTGTTGTTGGCTTATAATGGGGAGAACTGTAAGCTGATTTATGTTCCTGTCTCCTTGTTAACTCTTCCATTTCTGATTTTACTGTTGTAGTTTTGGAATTAATCTTTTTGTTATTCATGCTTCTCCAGCATCCTCACCTGTCCATGAGTGATCCTATCTTCACTGTTGGTCAAGGTCGTCATTGTAATTTATGGCTTAAAGACCCCACAGTTGGTAGTGTTTTGTGCAAGTTGAGCCACATAGAGGTAGAGTTTCCTACTTAATCTTTTGAAACTTGAAATGACCCACTGAATAACTAAAGATCCCGTCCGATTCCAGCTTTGTTATGAAAAATAAATCATTTCTCAAGCAAAACAGATCTATTTTAGATTATTTCTGAAAGATATTAATGAAAAGAACAGATTTTTGATCCATTCTGGTAAGTGCTTCCTAGAATGGTCCCAACCATAGAAATTACTGTTAGGCATTTCTATGTAATTTTAGATCACTGACCACAGTTTTTATATGAACTCTTTGCAGCGTGGAGGTTCATCTGTAGCATTACTGGAAATCACAGGGTGTAAAGGTTCTATTCACATTAATGGAAAGACTTATCGAAAGAATGCCCGTTTGATTTTAAGTGGAGGTGATGAAGTGGTGTTTGGTGCTTCTGGCAAACATGCTTACGTATCCTTTACTTATGGTTCCCTGGGATGAATGTATCTGCTTTCTCTTTTAGTTCCTGCTTGCTCCTTCGGTCCTTCCTTCATTGCATGCCTCTCACATGTTTTATGTATTTACATTGTAAACTGCTGTATTTTTTCATTCCTAAACTTTATTCATTGATAAATAATATATTATGCGTTCCTTAGCTAGGAATTAGATCTTTCAGCAGCTTATGAATAATAATATTAGTGCTGCTGGTATACCTTCTTCTGTTAGTATTTTAGAAGCCCAGGGTGCTCCAATAAATGGAATGCATGTTGAAACCAGATCTGGAGACCCTTCTACTGTAGCTGGAGCATCTATATTGGCTTCATTATCTAATCTTCATAAAGATTTATCTCTCCTTCCACCTGCTGCCAAAGGTGGACAGAATGTGCAGCAGAATACTGACATTTCATCACTTCCTTCTGGCCACGGGGATGATATTACAGACAACGAAATGAAGGATACCACAAATAATGATGAACCAGCTGGAGATTTTTCTGCTGAGAAAACTGTTCTTGCTTCCTCTACTACTGTTAATGAAAATTCAAGCCTTGACTCAATGGAAACTGATACCAATATGGATGCAGATGTTGGGAAGATGACTGCTGCTACATATGAATTGAGGCCATTACTACGCATGCTTGCTGGCTCATGTCCTGAATTTGATATAAGTGCTAGCATTTCCAAGATATTGGTAGAGCGAAGAGAATTAAAAGAACTCCTTAAGGATGTTGATACCCCAATAATATTGGAATCAACCAGACAGCAGGCATTTAAGGACAGTTTACTACAGAGAATTCTCAAAGCTGAGAATATTGATGTCTCATTTGAAACTTTCCCTTATTATCTAAGGTACAAATGAGTATTACTTGTTATTAATTTATCTCTTGATTATGCTACCGGAACTGTACAGTACCTCAAGCATGGTTTCCATTACATGTAAAATTTAGCTACATTGATATTCTTTGTTGCTATGTTGTTTGGTTGATTTGCTTGTAGTCACTGCTTTGAGATAGATAAGAGATAATTTATGATTTTTTTTATTATTACAGTGATACAACAAAGAATGTTTTGATTGCTTCGACATTTATTCATTTGAAGTGCAATGGGTATGGAAAATATGCTTCAGACCTGCCATCGGTGTCCCCGCGAATATTGTTATCTGGTCCTGCAGGTAGTTCCATATTTCTTCCTTATGCTTCTGCTTTCCCCTTTTTTTAATAGAGAAGTGATATCAATATGATCCTTGTGTAGGTTCGGAAATATATCAGGAGACTTTGTCCAAGGCACTTGCAAAGCATTTTGGTGCCAGGCTACTAATTGTGGATTCTCTTTCACTGCCTGGTGTATGTTTTCTTAGATATTCTTCTTTTGTTATAATTATTGAGGTTTTGCAGAATTGTGCTATACTGTACTTGTCTATAATCTTTCCTACTTCATGGTCTTTTCATCTATAGTGGCATTATTTGCTTGCTTCTATAGATGGTTTCTTGCTAAATCAAGATTAGTTTACTCATAATTGTTTTTATTTTGCTATCAATTTTTCAGGGAACACCTTTAAAGGAAGTTGATTCAGCTAAAGAAGGTTCTAGGCCTGAAAGACCATCTGTGTTTCCTAAGAGAAGTGCCCAGACTGCCACATTACAGCATAAGAAACCAACTTCTAGTGTTGATGCTGAAATTATAGGTGGATCCACATTAACTTCTCAGTCTATTCTGAAGCAAGAGGTTTCTACTGCATCATCAAAAGGCGCTACTCTTAAAACAGGTAAGCTGTTATTTCCTAGAATATGAGCACCTATCTGCAAATTTACTTCCATTTTCTTGTTATTTTTATGTATGCTAGGTAGCATTTTGAAGGCTTTAAGGAGATGATGCTTTATTCATTTGCAGGTGATCGAGTAAAATTTGTTGGTAACTTTCCTTCTGCTGTCTCAGCACTACCAAATTATCCTTCAAGGTAATTTGTGTCATGGATGAATTTTACATCGTAATGTTTTTACAGTTGGTGTAGTAGATGTTGATATGATATTGTAGAGATGTAAGATTTTTGTAATATTTCATATTGTGGAGGATATACATATTCATTCCTTAAATAAGACTTTGAAAAGCATCATGCCTTTTTTTTTTTTTTTTTTACAAACAGTAGATCATTAAGGGACTGAAATGTCCTCATTTCCAGCAGTCATAACTTTTGAATAATTTAACTCTGGAGCAGTTTCTTTTGGTTCAATTCAGATGTTTCATCATATCGTGAATTTTTTTTTCAATTCTCCTGTGTATTTTATTTGGGACTGGATGCAAATAATTTAATATCTTAATTTACTTTGGGGAGAGTTTTGTTTGTGGCTTCACTCTGGTGCATTGCTATTAGCTGTTTCAAAAAAATCTCACTTTCTTTTATGCAGAAACACTAGACAGTACTGTTTGTTTGTTTGTTTATTTATTTATTTATTCATATTTACATATTTTAATTATTTGTTTTGTTGGTCCATATATTATTCTCCTGCAAGTTGTTCTTTCCCTCTGTTTTGTCTGATAAAAACTTCTTTCTATATTTAATCCATTAGTTCAATTTTTTATTACTTCTCAGAAATGGATTTTATTCTTTTTCATTGGACAGGGGACCAAGCTATGGCTCCCGGGGCAAGGTTCTCCTTGCTTTTGAAGGTAACGGATCTTCAAAAATTGGGGTTAGGTTTGATAAATCAATTGCAGATGGCAATGATCTTGGAGGCCTTTGCGAAGATGATCGTGGGTTCTTCTGTTCTGGTAATTTGCTGTATTTGATTGAACTTCTGTTTCTTTAGCTGGATAATAGTACATTTTTATGCTATAATTTTTGCATGTATAATTCATTCATGATTTATCCTGCAGCAAATCATTTACTACGAGTAGATGGTTCTGGAGGGGATGACGTTGACAAA